TGCTTCAGTGAGAAGGTGAGGTTTGCCAAGATTTGTAGACATATTTGACACTGACTTGAAACATTTTACTAGATCCTTCAGAAGCGTAATTATTAAAAAATAATCGTGATTTTTCAAAAATTGTTTGAGAAAATTTGATATTGAAAATTTTCCTTCAGATATTACGCTACTGATGATCACCACTTAACGTGTGCCCAGCATGATTTTTTATCAAGAACAGTATTGATATTTTTGTTTGTTTAGAAGTAAGGTATTAGATTTTTTACAATAAGGAAAATAATTTTTCGAATTGTTTTTGATTGAAAATTCTGTTGATCGCATATTTTATTGAAGCACGCCAATGTTTTCTTTGGTTTTATTCGCTTACAGGTGGCTAGTATATCGGCTTTCCTTGAAAAACAAATTCAGAGAGAAAATGACAGTGTGAAAAATTCTAAATTTTTGTATGGAGCTGTAAAATAATTACTTATTTTTTCATTAAACTGCTGATGCTCACTACACTACAGTCCTTTTTATTAAATATATAGAATGGTGTAGTTTTTTATTTGCTATTGACAGCTATTGACAGAAGGGTTCGTGGGAACCCTTCGTCTCATAAAAAATTACTTAATGGGAAAATAAACATTTTCCTCCCTGGTAAAGCACCAGGAAATTGCTTCTCGAAATATCACCTTTCTTTTTCAAGCTCTTCGATATACAGGCTTATCCAAATAAAGTGTGCATCACTGACATTATTGGAGGAATGAAATCTTCGAAATTAGCCAAATAACTAGCATTTTCTAGGCCTATTGAGATGCAAGAAACAATATCAATATCAGGCAGCGAAGTTTTCGGCCTGCTACAGATATCATCAGTGATACTAGGCTGGACTACGTATACGTTGCTAGATCCGTCCTCCACTCGACTTGGAAAGGCTTGTTTATCTGATGAATGACTTTTTTTCTAGGGAAAACCCTTCATGTAATATTTTTTCTTGTGAAAAATGATCTTTCAGTTATAAAAGCGAATATGTTGAAGGAGTTAGTTATGAGATTCATGAATCAAAGCAATAAGTTCGAATGTGGAACAATAATATTGTATTTTCACTAAATACCTGGATAAATCACATAAATATGAACCTGTTAGAGACACGCTTTGAGTCTTCTTGGTATCCACTTGCCTGTCAATGAACCAAGCAGCGCACTAAATAGCCAGAGTGTCGTGTCGCGCTGAAATAGGCCATCCTGCGTCACTCTGCATGAGCGCAGTACTGCGCGGATATCAGTATAGGGTTGCGTTGTTAGTTATTAAGAACATACCGTCTTCTCAGGCAGAAAAATGTGATATGCTGTAGACTTAGTTCTAAAGAAGAAAATTTTCAAGAGCCATAGCCTAATACCAAATGGTGTATCGAAAATTTCGAATTAATGAGTATCTAGGACATCTGATTTAAATAATCAGTGAGGCCGCAGAAATTGTCGTTCTTGGTTACTTTGAAGCCCACCATGAGAACTTCATAATAAGACAAGGATTCTATCTTCTGGTACGATGTAAATCATTCTTAAAAAACGAATTCGTTCTTGATGAATACCATCCAGTTCGTGCTCTTTTGATAGGGAAAACTGTCGACAATGACAGTTTTCACAAACTGTCATTGTCGACAGTTTGTGAAAAATTCTGTAATGTTCTAAGGTCCAACAACTTCAACTTTGTCAATTTTGGGATGTATGAGCCTTCATTAGGTACTGATCAGGAGGAACATATCTCGAGTTCATGAGTGTCTTTCTGAAAAAAATCCTAGATGAACCAGGTCTTGTTCAATGATAAATGGATAGGAACGATTGACTCTATTCAGTGGCCTCCAAAGTCTTCTGACCTGAGCCGTCTTGATTTTTGTTATAAAGGTATTTGAAGAATTCAATTTGTATGAAACACTGTGTTGACGGTACAACAGTAATAAAAAATTGCAAGGTATTGATGACAAAGCCTTGCTAAAAAGTAATCGAGCAGTTCAACAATGGGCACTAAAATAAATCGAAGAAAAGGTGACGTCTTTGAGTGCCTGCTGAGAAGGAATTAGCAATCGTTCAAAATATCGGCTCGAATGAAAATTCAACGTACCTAACGATACATTCGAGTACAAAAAAGTCGACGTAGGGAATTTTCTTGCTCTTTAGAAATCCTACTGCATCGGAATTTGTGTTTGTATTACTACAGCCAATTCCCGCTGTATCGAATTCCCACTACGTCAAAGTTAACTCTTGCATTTACGTCAGTGGAAAGTGAGTTATACCGAAAGATTCCTCTTTAACAACATAGGCCATCGAAATCATCTAGGCAAGGACAGGTGGACAGGGATTTTACTACTGCATCCTTTCGCCTTACGTCGAATACGGGATAGGTCAAGTGATCGTTATGAGTTTCAAGAACGTTCATATTTTGGTGTCGTCAGAGGGAGAGATGGAGGTCCACTTGGTGAGAATTTGACGTAAGGATAATGAGACGTGAAGGAAATTCGACAGAGTAAGACGTAATAATTTACCTCACATAAAAGAAATATTACATGCTTTCATAATTGAAGTATTATTTTCTAACAGAAAAAATATTACTTTAGGGCCTTCCACAGTGGAATTTTTCTTATTCATTAATTTTATTAAACTCAGATCAATTTGAAATAGGGTAAAGAACTCTCAACAAGACAAGTCAGGCTACTTTCTGTTTTGAATTCAAGTCTGTTAGTTCTTATTGTTGTTTACTTACAATCGCATGAAAATTCTTATTTTTGTTTAACTTTTTCATTGAAAGTCAGGTTCAAATTATAAAATTGATATTATTCATTTATTCATAGACGGAAAAGAATGGAAAAAATTAATTTAAAAACTCTAATATTGGAAACTGAAAACTCTGTAATTGAATGATGTACTCGGCTTATTTTTTTTTCTACGTCAGGTAGGCCTGTCATTATTGAGAATCATCATTTTACGCAAAAGTAGGTACTGATCAAACGTCACTTGTCATAACGAAAATCTTAAAACTGGATTTTCCACTTCGTGAAAATGTTGATCATCAGTTGATTCTCATCACCAGTTTACAAAAAAAAACACACTACTAAGTAAATTTAACTACTCACTGTGCAATATTTGAAAAGAAGGTAACCGCCTACCCCTTCCAATCCTGAGTAGTTAACGTAAAAACTTATATACATTTGGTAGCGTATAAAGCCAGCTCTAAGTATATCATTTCACACTTACATAACATTTCGCTTTATGCTTTCGTGTGTATCAGTTTGTGCCAAAATTAACACGAAAACCATGGTGTCTACACTCGTACACGTTTTTTTTTTGGTTTTTTCAAAAAGACTGTCCCTCTGCAAGCGAGAGGATCCGTGTGTGCCTCAGAATACTTAAGCCAGTCACGACGCAACAGCCACTTGTGAATTATGTGAGTGTTTGTTATCTTTTCTTCTCCTAGTTTCAAGGGAGGTACATTTCACTACCTAATGTATAACAGTTGCAAATGATGTCAGCGGTGGAATTGAACTTAGACATCGATGAATAAAATTAGTTTTGAGATGCACCTCCCTTGATGTCTGTAATATGGTCCTGGCTTTTTAACTTTGTCCATGAGTAGAGGGTAGTGAAATTATTTTCGAGTTCTTATGAACTCTCAGTAGTTGATTTTGTAGTAGCTCCCTGAATTCATCAAGAATGCACGTTTCTGGAATTCATTCAATTCGTTGCATTTTACGTATTAACATCCTTGGTAACATAAAGAAAAAGGAATAATATGAAGATCGTGGAAAAAATGGTATAAGTCATCTTATTGCTGTGTTTCATAAATCGATATCACCTACCTATGAATTTCAGCAATCACATAATTTTTGTGTGAAAGTTTCAGAACAGTATATATTTTTTGTACAGCATCACGGTTTATGCCTTTGAAACTTCTTGGAACTGTTAGTATTCACAATTTAATGTCATGTCATCTTCGATTAGTATTGCAGTTTGTGGTCATATGGGCTGAAAAGTGGAAGATTCAATTTGGGACCTTGCGTGGGAATCCCAAATCTAATAAGTAGAGTTCATCACAACAAAGAGTTCCCTGAAATACAATGGTGTCAAATCATTCTGACAGATCGAATAACAGCGTCCAGATATTTCAGCCGATAAAATCGTAAATGAAATTTGAAAAATTAAAGAGCTGCTGCTCATTTCCATGAAAATGAGTTTTGATCAGTTTTTTGAGGATGTCTTATAAGCATAAATTTCACCACTCTTATTTTTAAGATAGCCACTCTTATGTTTTTAAGAGTTCAGCGTTATAGTTAATGCAAAACTTTAGTCAAAGACCAGATCATTTATGAAATGAAATAGCGTCAATTGCGTCACCATGGGAAGGTAGAGCAAAGGCTGCTTTCTACAGGCTTAAAAATAATGTTTTGAGAATGTATCCCCGATTGAAAATTTGTCAGATAATTAGTAGTCATAATACAGAAATGAAAACAATCATATGGAATGGTGAAGCATTCTGTGATCATCAGCTGGAAATAAATGACTGACAAAAATATATCGCTGACTGTCGGCTATAAAAGAAACACCATTACAAAGACTGGTCTGTCCTCCCTCAGAAAGGTGATCCATATCACAGAACTTAAATCAAGACTTTAGTGATGTGGTCTATAAATTCGCATGAAACATATTTCTCGTAGAACGCCAAATTTCGTAGATCGTCTAAAGTCTAAAAAGTCTGTCCATGATGAAATGTCAGAGTGTACTTACTCCACAAGAATACTATGTCAGTATGATAAAATGCGTGTGTAAATCAAACCTGTGAATCAATCAGCTGTTGAATCCAATTATGATGAAAATTTGTCATCAGAAACCCTTTGTCTTTGTTACAGATCACCAAATTTTAGTTGGAAAGCCTACGACAGTTGCAGTTTACACATTTTTTCACAGCTTCTCACAATTATTTCATTCTGAAAATATATAATGGTAACCTGCAATATTATTTTTTATTAGGTGGAGCAGAAGAAACCGCCACGGATCGAATTCCCAACGCAGCCAGATCATTGATTACCGGACTGGGTATATTAGGTCACACCTACGGTCTCCGTCTGGAAGGGTGCGGTGACCAAGACAGAGTTTAGATGAGCACCAATCAAAATACCTGTTTCAAAGATCTTCTCTACCTTGATAGAATCGATAAAATGGATCCTCAGTTGATAACACGATCTTGCTAATCTTCTGTAGAAGCAAAATTCTAGAGAAGTTCTCAGTGCATTTGAATCAAATATTTTTGGGAGATTGTCTGTGGGTAACAAGTATTGGATTATAAAATCACCAACAGACCTCTAAGCTTTCCGAAAAAAAAATTTATGATTATTGTTCATTGGTTCTACGAGAAAATGATTCATTATTCAGGAAGTAACACCCAAATATTTCCATTTCAAAGGATGATGACGTCTCTACCATTGTAATTTATTCCCTCCTTTCAAACCACATTTCAAAATGTATATGATTTTTGTGAAGCAGAAACAAAGTACATGAGTGAATATACGGCGTAACCATTTAGTTAGTACTACTCAATGAAAATTACAAATATAAAGTTTTTATATTTGGAATTTTATATTTATCGTATTATGAAATGCTGCTTAATTTCGGAACTAATCATCAAAATGACCTCAAAGTAAGTTGGCAATACGATGCACTTCGGTTTTGCCCGTATTATATATCAAATGTTATTGACGTCACGACCACCAGTTTTATTCGATTTTGAAAAAACTAGTGACAACAGAATTGTAAAAAATATGAAACAAGGCACTATCATCATACGTGTAGTTTTCACCCATCCGGTTATCCCAATACCAGTGGAAAGGTCCATTTTGATAACTTTTTTATTGAAGAAGTACTACTTTTTCAGTACATTGGTCAAATATTTGACAAAATCTCAATTTGGTGTTCTAGAGTGGTTGATAAAACGAATACTATTTGGCACATAAAATTGGCTAGGTTATTTTTATTTGAATTAAAATAATACATCTTGTTGAGATCATGCACTTATTGAAACTATAACTTGTCCTGAGATGAACAGATGAACAAACGAATATGGAGTTGTTAAGTTGTTAAAATATACCAGACGATATTTCAATACTGACTTTAAAAATGTATGAACAAGTGGTTATTACTTCAAATTGATACACTTTTGAATGAATAAACGTACTCTAGGGGTTTAGTCGAATTTTTAGCAGATATGGAGTTCTTTAACGTTACCACAAAAAGAATACTTTCGACATGAACTGTTGTTAGAAACAAACAAGATTATTAATTTTCAAATATATGTTGTTTCCTATATATGTTTAGCAATCATTACCTTGATATATCATTAGAAGTTTCCCTTTAAATAAATTAAAAGTGTTACAATGAATATTTGTCATTTTTATTCATACTCCTTCCTCAAAATTTGGAAAATTCTGTTGGGTTTGAAATCGAGCGTTTTTACTTAATAAGCAGATGCTATTTCAATGATATTCACTTTCTGGTAGTGAATTACGAGCATTATTCCTTACGGAATATGATGATTTTCTGTGAATAAGCAAAAAAAAAATAGAAATGAGTAAACTTTTCTTCAGTAATCTTTTAAAAACTGAAGAAGCAGGTCGTTTCACGCTGGGTTGACGTTATTGAAATTTATGTTCATGCTCTAGATTTCGCATGACCCGTTGTCAAACAAACAGCGGCTCAAAATTGGCCTAATAACCTGCTGGGATAACATCGTAATAAATTCTCGACTGCAATCAAATTATATATCTGATGAGTTTCAAATAATTTGAGTTTAACGCTAAAAATAACATTGAACACTTCTAACACAAAATTAAGATCACTGAAACTTGACCCATGAACATTAAAGTGCCGTAAGATGAGTGTCTCTTCTGAAAGAAATTCTGTGTCCTCATCCTCAGGGTACTTTTTTGGAGCCTCTGGCAACAGCACAAGAATAATGTTTTCAGAATTATACTTTACGTATGCTAATAAGCTATAGCTTAGGGCCCCGACTTTACGAATTTGTTTTTTCTACTCACTAATGCCGATTTCAAACTCAGCATAATGAAATATCTCGAACATCTCAATTCCGAATTTGAAGTCGGAATTTCCAAATAACTTTGTAGAAAGTGAGGTTAAGGTTCTTTCCTTTCTTAACCACAGGAGCCAAGTTCCAACTGTTCGATAAATTCGTTTTTTTTCCTTAGTTGTGTCCTGAAGTCAGTGACAGTTAATATTGACAGCATCGTGTTATTTGTACTGACAGTTTTTTGTGACAGTAAACATGACAGTATAAAATAAAGTCCAAACTGTAAAAGTACAAAGGTTGATTTGTTGCTGATAGGAATCCTTTATTACCAATAGACAATAGCCTAGTCATTCATTTCAAATATCAATTTTCGTTAGTTAGTGGATACCTAATGAAAGGATCTTTGAAAATGAAATTTTCATTGTACTTGCTGTTAGCATTTTCAGTCATATCAGCAATCGCACATGAGGAAGATGTGTACACTATCAAATATACAGCAGATAATTTTTCACAGGAAGTTGCTAAGAAAAATCACTTTGTCATGTTTTATGCACCCTGGTAAGAACTTATTAGTTATCTAACCTAAGTGATTACTTTTATTCAATAAGTGTTACAAGAAAGGGGACCAGTCCGGTTGCAATTTAAAAAGATTCATGTTTTCCCTTTGTAAAAACATTACTCGTGGTTGTGGTTCTGCATGAATGTTACCACTAAAAATCAACAATGTAACTTCTCAAAATTTGCGACTCAAGGCTGATGCATGAATAGACCTTGAATTTTATATTGCTTTATTCTAGGTGCGGACATTGTCAGAAATTCGCTCCAAAATGGGAACAGCTTGCAGAAATGTTGAATGAAGACGAGAACAATAATATAAAAATTGCTAAAGTGGATTGTACAACAGCCAGCGAAGTTTGTTCCGAACAAGATATAACAGGATACCCCACCCTAAAGTTCTTTAAAGTTGGTGACAATGAAGGGGTAAAGTTCAGAGGTACCAGAGACCTCCCGACAATCACAACTTTCATCAATGAACAACTGCGAGAGGTATTTTTCGTGAGCAGAATGAACCTGATTGATAATAAACCAAATTTATTTCTTTAGGGTGATGACGAAATTACTGACACAAACATTTCCCAACCCGTAGAGGGGCTGCATGAACTTACAGAGGAAAATTTCGAAAATCATGTTGCAACTGGAAAACATTTTATTAAGTTTTATGCTCCTTGGTGTGGACACTGTCAGGTAAGGATTAAGTTGCTTACAAAATGTGAATTTGGTGTATTTAAAGAAAAAAGTTTGTCTCATTGGAAAATCCTTTTATTTTAGAACACTATTTTCTTTAAAAAAACAGGCTATCTATTTCAACAATCTTCAAGTCGAAATTGGATTTTTTTTAATAAAAAAATAATATGCTCATTCCATACAAGGGAATAATCAAATCTAAAACATTATTCATATATTTTGTTCAACTTAGTATAAAAACAATTCATCATTCCTCACAAACTGAATTCTCAATTTCCTTTCCCTCCTAATCCTTAGTTAGCACCAGTTTTGACTTCTGAGGATTATTGTTCATAGGGGGGGAGCGATAGCTGGTTAACAGAAAAACAGGTTTTTTCAATAGACGACCCTGAAATTTTCAAAATAGATGCAGTACTTTTATCTATTATCAATTACCGAAGAGAAATAATTATACCAATTTTTGAAGTTAACTCAACTTATAAACTTGCAAACCTAGAATTCACATAGGCATTATATAATTTGTATGAACAAAATTGATTCAATTCTGATTATTTAAAATATTGTCAAAAAAGTTTCTAGAAGTTTTGCATATCCAATTTTCTTTAACGGTTAGCAATGATTTTATTTTCTTCCGTTTATCTCGTATTTTATCATAAAGATCTATTGGAAATTTCTTCAGTAATTTTTTTAATAATATTCTTTTTTGTAATTATTTCAGATTTATATAGTGTTTCTTGTGTGTTCATTACAGTTGATATTTTGTTGATTTTTTACAATTATATAATTGATTCATGTCCATTTCTTCACTTCCTTCAAACAATATTTCAGATGAATATTTCCAATCTTTATTGAATTTTTTTTCCAAAAATATTTTTTGTACCTTCACTTTCTTTTAAATGTATGTTTTTACTCTACTCCCTCATGAAATTCCATAACCCAGCTGAGTTTATATCAAAGAAAAATAAAGAATCTCAAGTAAATTTATATTGACAAATTGTTTTACAAATTTAAATTTGGGAAAATTTTTTATTTCTCCAAAAATTATTAGTAATGAAACACTTCGTTCCCAGTATTTATGAATGTATTTTTAATTCATGTTTAAAACTTGAAGAATATTCGGGATGCACCATTAAAAAAATAATATTGATGATATTTTTGGCTTAACCGGAAGTAGCAAAAAATTGTACACAAAATTTAAAAATCATTTTTTGCAGGCAACTGAGATACTTGACCATTCCAGAACTTTTGTCTTATTTTGTCTACTGTATACTGTATATTAGTAAGATAATACTTCTTTCCAGAAATTGGCTCCAACTTGGGAACAATTGGCTAAAACTTTTGAATTTGAATTTGACGTGAGCATAGGAAAAATTGACTGTACGCAACACAGGACAATATGCAATAATTTCGAAGTCAAGGGTTATCCCACACTATTGTGGATTGAAGATGGAAAGAAGGTAAAAAATATTTTTCATTTTACTTGAGGGAGAGTATTCGAGGATCACAAAAAAACATGTTTTTACAATTTTTTTTTTTGGTAAAAGTGAAATTAAACAATGAGGATTTTTCATCGACCTTTTTTTGGTATTTTCACCTTCCACTATCTGAAAAAAAAATAAAGATTGTAATGGAGAACTTACAATTTTTTTTTCATATTGTGTGAGGTGAAATTAATGGAAAAGGGGACGATGAAAAACTCTTGATTTCCTCCACAAAAAATAATTTTAGTTCGAAACCAGTAAAGATGTTTTGAAGAAGGCTTTTTGTATTTTCTAGATCGAAAAGTATCAAGGGGACAGAGGTCATAACGACCTCAAACAGTATGTCAACAAAATGCTGGGCACCCAAAAGGAAGGACAGGCTGAACAACCTCCAAAAACCGTTACCAAAGACACTTCTGGTGAACTCACTGGTGACACCTTCCAAACCAATATCGAGTCTGGCATAACGTTCGTCAAATTCTTCGCCCCATGGTGTGGCCATTGCAAAAGGCTCTCCCCCACTTGGGACGGCCTGAGAGAGAAGTTCTCCACTAACAGTAAAGTCAAAATCTTCAAGATTGACTGTACGTTAGAGGAAAATAAGCAACTGTGTAACGACGAAGAAGTGGAAGGCTTCCCTACTTTGTTCTTGTACAAGGATGGAGAGAGAATATCAGAGTATAGTGGCAGTAGGTCTTTGGAGGATCTGTATGAGTTTGTGTTGAAGCATGTAAGACACGACGAGTTGTAAATTTTTTGAGGTTTTATAGTTTCAAATACTTACCAGCATTTTTTGACTGATATCTCAAGGGTGTTCATCTTGGTATTTTTTTCATTGATTTGTAATGTAGTGCGTTATACAGGGTGCTTCAAATGACTTAAGTGTTGGAGAAATAGATCCGAGTTTGAGTTTTCTAGTCATATTATTGAGTTTGTTTTCTTGAAGCTGGTACTCTACAAGAATATATTGATTTTTCAATATTTTCCTTGGAATTTAAAGAAAACAGTAAAACTGTCAAACCAAAAAGAAAGTTATTTATTATCTTCATCAATTCTTTTGATAATTATATAATTGTCATTTTCAAAGACGCAGCGTATAAACTATACAACCCTGTAAGTCTAGGATTTTTTACCCACCTGAAATTGTTGTGTATTTTTTTTTTTATAAAATCGACATTTTCTCATACAACAAGAAATGAAAAAAATTGATATTATTTCTTATTTAATTCAGATAATCTCTAAACTGATTTTGATTCTATTCATAATGGATGTGAAAACGTGTTCAACATGAAAATATAGTTTTTTGCAAAGATCTGAGCAATGTTACAAGTTCATTTTGTTTTTTTTTTCAAAAATCATCAATGCCTCTGTCATATTCTGCTATCTTAATCATACATATTCCTTTAAGGCAAAAAGTGATTCAGTGTTTTTCTTTAAAAAAATGTACATCCACTTTGTTGGTTTATATTTGATTTAAAGCATCCATCAATTTGATGTTTAATATTTAATAAAACACCAGTACAATCTGATTATATAGTATAAGGATTTCATTTGGAGCACATGTATTTTTTCTATGTTGGCTACTCTGTTTGTCATAAGTGTCAGTTGTCGTTACTTCAGATACGTCAATGACAAATATACAGGATTGCCAACTTAGAAAAAATGCATGTGCTCCAAACAAAATGCTTATCTGATATAGTCAATTTTTGTTTGTTATAATTATTTTTTGAGAAACACTAAAAACTTGCTCTGGAAAATGATCTGTGTCCATATTTTACAAGTTTGTATAGGTATTGTACATTTCATTACTCAACAAATACCAAATCAAGTTCTTGTGATTTTCAATGAGAAATATTGGAATTGTTCAAATATACACCCTAAAACACAACTGAAGAACGTTTTCATTGTTATTTTCGATTTCAAACCAGAAATTAACAAAGGAAGAATTATAATCTTCCTCTAGTGGACAAGATGATTCTGTGAACCACAGAGTTTGTTATTCTAGGATGAACTAATATCTACAGCCCCCATGGGCTGCCGAGTTTCATAACAGTTATGATGCCAAAAATTAGTTTATTGGTATTAGAAGTATCAAAATATATATTTCAGATTTTATTTTTCAAATAATAACTATTATCAAATCATTATACACGGCGACATTCAGTATTTTATGAGGTAAAAAATCTGAAATTGGGAATAGAGGTATTGATCATCGAAGTCCATATTTTTAATGATAAAACAATTGAAAATCTATATGGGGTTGGAAATGAACACAAGTCAATAAATTCAGACCATTCAATCGAATATAAAATTATCTTTTCAATTTCCATTAAAACTGTCAATTTTCTCCAAATGAATTATGGCATCACTATGGGGTTATCTTAAGAAATATTGTCAAACAATTCAATGTAGGGAGAAACAAACTATACAGCTGCCGGACTGAGTCATGGCCGGTGAGAGACCTTTCCCTCAAAATGAGCAGTAGATGTGTAGAAATCTGGTTATCAGTATCTTAGATTATTCGAGCCGTAAACATCAAAATTCAAGACCATATTCAGTTAGTGATGGAGTTCAAAAGTAAATTGCATAAACATATTTTTAATAGTCAAACTCGTGAAGATACAATACGATTTCTCCCACAGGCCATGACTCAGTCCAGTAGATGTACCTTTATTCCAATTTTCAAATTGTTTACCTCATAATGCATAGTTGTTTTAGATATTATTGAGCTGTTACATTGCTTCGGTTGATTTCATTTTACAAATATAAAAATACTGAAAAATCTAGAGGTGATCGAAAATAGATCTGAAGGCTTCATCCGAAATTGACTATTCATTTATTGAACAAATAATTTTTTTCAATTTGTCAGATTTTTTCTCTACACTTTTTAAATCGAAAATTAAGAGAGATTTTGGCATATACCATGAGAAGTGAAATTTTTTTTTTCATCTTTTGTATATGCTTTTTTGAATCTTGCTACTGAGAAAAGTGGCTCACATATTTGAGACACCCTGTATTAGAGTTTACAGATTCAGATGCTTATTGAAATTTCAGACCCAACTGAAATTTTGAGTGTTGCAAAAAATATTGTTTTACAACATTCCTGAATGTTGTTTTATGACCAGACAGTATTCAGTTGAAATAGAAACTTAACCTAAGGCTAGTACTTGACTGATACCAAGAACTATGACTAGAAAGTTGAATTATGTTTTAATAAAGATTGAGCTCAAAATGAAACAGGCGGTATTCTTAGGTTTAGTTCTTGATTATCAGTTACTAGTTTCATTTCTTGGGCATTGTTGGATAAAAACTGACAAATCAGAATGATTCCCTTAGAAATTGTAAGCTAGATGTTTTTCATTTCACTGCAGAATTTGAAAGTTCCACAAGATTAAATTTCACATCAATTATACTCTTTCTTCTTTGTGTGTAGGTAATTCTTAGTGTTTGTTTTTTTCTAGAGAAGTGTTTGTGGTTCTTCATTCACAAGTTCATTTTTTGTTTTGTTTTTTAAAATTTTATTTGTAAATAAAGTTTGATAAGATATTGATCTTTTCAATTATTCCTACACTTTGTGTCGAAACAATCTCGTACGTGATATTTCAACTAGCTTGAGTTAATAACTCAAGTATTGACGTGATTTAAAAAAATGTGATAACAGATTGAATATTGATAATAGTATATTATTGAACGAGTATATGATGATGGCTATTATTCACGCGGTGAGTCACCGAGAGAATAATAGCCATTGTACGCGACTAGAATACTATACTTTGTCAAAAGCTACTTAGATGTATGAAATGTTTTGAAAAGCATTGCATGTTAAGAAACATATAATAATAATAATAAATGGGCTTCATTCATTGACATACATTGTTTATAAAAAAGAAATAGATACAAAAAACAATGAAACGGCGAAGTTCAGCCGAGACTGTTTTACACTTAACCTAGCACTTTCAAAGTCGCTGATAGCTCAGTGTAGATGCTCCTTGCTTTCCAAACGCAGGTTCCGGGTACGAATTGTACTGATTGTTTGTAGCAAAACAATATAATATTATAGCTAAATCAAGGAAACATCTGACCGCAGTGATTAATGACCCATTAACCACTGCCCTGATCAATGGGTATTATTAAGATCGAGTAAACAGACGTATAATGGGTACATTATAAAATGGTCATGGATAAATATAATCAATTCATTATTCCTTGAAATAGCATGTTTTCAAGTATAAAGAGGATAAATGATCATATTTTTCACTTATACATTCACATGGTTGCACAAGAGTATGTTTTTCATAATTGTTTTGTTCATGTGTGAAACATGCCAAAAAAAATGTTTAAAAACTAAGGATAGTGAAGTGGTGGGAGAAGCACGACCTCTTTTTGTATCCTGTACTATTTAAATTGTTTTTGAGCGATGTTTCAGTAACTCTGTTCAAAGGGGAAATCGAAATAACACATTGTATAAACATAATTTTATTCAATGAACATGTGTACATCTTTAACAAAATACTACAAGTAAATCCACACAACCTTTGGGTCAATAATATGGTCTCGATGACGTTGCACATTTAAAAATGAAATGGAACAAAAAATATTGCCATATAATGAGCAATGAGCTATAAAATTCACTGAAAATTAAGTTTTCTTTACAGTATTTTCCCATTTCTCCTAGTTTGATCAATGCTGTAAAAATCTGAATCAATCCTAGCTGAAAAATCATTGAATAATTTCATAAAAAATGAGAAATAAAACTTCCTATGTTTTCATACCAGTTGTCTTCTCAACTAACGTTACTTCAGTTTCATCCAACAAGAACAATAAACCGAGTTTATTGTATTAGTTTGAAAATGTCATTGAGGGACGAACTGCAGTCACGTTAGTTACAAATACAAGTAAAAACATAGGAAGTTTATTTTTCATAGATATCTCCTACCACCTAATAACGGCTACATCCATCAATTTATTGAATAATTTCTTGCCTATCAAAGAAAAATTGTACTCTTAAATATCTCTTTCCTTGCTCTGTGACCAACAGTTCAGCAAATTAATAATGAAATAACTGTTTCTTAGAATTAATAATTTTCATCAGTAGTAATGAGCCAACTGAAACTTCCTCAAGACTTGTAGACAACAAATTTAAATGCAATGGCAGTATGTTGTATACAGATTTGTACGAATAGAGAATATGTATTTTTCAGCACCAAAAACTTATGCTGTCTCCGCTGATCTATACAAGAGGGGCTCCTCCTGAGTAAACAGAATGAGACATCAGAGTATAGTCACAAGAATAGAATGTTTCGTCGGAGTTTCAAATAAATTCACAATATTGATTCAATTGCTATTTTTAAAAATTTAGTTTGAAAGATTAACATGTTTATATTAGGCAAAATAATAGCTGGGAGAATTCAAGCATCGACAACAGTAGTCATATTGTAAAAATCCTGAAACACCTCACTTTCAGATGGCGAAACTATTTCCTGCATAAAAAATTGATCAACAAATTTATTGCACTTCGAGTGGGGGGGAAGAATATAGATAGAGCCTCCTTATATATATATATATATATATATTTTTTGTATAATTTATTATTTGCCAGTTGTAAGGACCATTGCCGTAAGATGGCGCTAGAGACAACAAAAAACTATGGGAAAACAAAGAAATATGTCAAGATAGTTGCTATTAGCAAATGTGAAAATTTTATGTACTCAAGAGTAAAATTTATTTGCAGTGTTCACAATAAAAAGACAAATTTAATGATTGGCTTACAGATTCCCAGTATAATTTTTGATGATGAATTATTTCATTGTTAATAGAAATATACCTATTTTTGTCAAAAAGGTTAGCTTATGAGTAGAGATATCGTCTGTTGTGCCTAACCATAATGAAGAAAAGATTAAAAAAGTAGAAGAAGAAAAGTGAAGATGACAACCTTTTTGCATATAAACACATTGTGGACAATATGATATTAAACTGATATGTTACTAGCGCAAACTCAATATTTTTAGCTACTCTTATTCCCCCAACAACTTTCACAAGTAACAATGGTATTTTATCAACGTAGATTCCGGAAACTTTGTTGACTGAAAACTTCCAAATGGTTAAATTCTCATTTTTAACCCTGCCATATTTAATCAAACGTTTCGTCTGATACTGCGACAGACATCATCAGGGGTATGCACGAGGACGAAAGTAATATCTCAAAGTCTCACTAATGAATGAATAGTGAGCTACCTGCTCACTTTTATTTATACTTCAGTGGGGCTAATGGTGGGAATAGCAGCTTGGCCAACGGGAGCGGTGATGGTGGGAGATGCTCACTCCTGATTGGTCCGCAATGTCACTAGATTGTTCTGATTGGTCCACGTTGCTAACAGGTATGCCACTGGAGGGATGTCGATCCGAGTTGTATTCTAGTCCACTTCTGGCCTTTTGGAACACTGGATACCACGTTCTGTTGACCAGTATACCTTCTGTTCTGTTTAAATTGTTGAGATGTTTATAGATCTCAATGGCCTCTCTATGAAGTCGTGCGTGGTAATGTTGGACACAGTTTGTTCGCATTTTATTATGTGGTCTACATTTGCATAGACATCCCGCCACCCCCAATGTTCTCACCATGGGCCCTGCCTCTGTCCTCACATTAAGCCCTCACCCTCTGAATACGAATGAACACACAGTTGGCCAATCTAGTTCGTTATTGGGACTTTGAGATATAAATTTAGTTCTCGCACTGAGAGTATCTGAAGCAGTAGCTTGTAACGTGCGATTCGTAGAAATAACTTATATTTGACCTACCAAACAACTCATTCTACTTTATTTCTACTACTTATTTTGAGGACCTGAAAAATTTTGCTCAAATAAATCTGACTCATGACTGAATTATAAACTTGTTCAGACTGTAAATGATATTTTCTATTCAACTTTTTATAGCTCAGAGCAATAAATACAAATAAATCAGTTCAAGTAAAATCCTACAATTATTACTCAACATATTTTACATCTTAAAGAAAGAGACAAAAATGGTCCAAATTTGAAAAATATATACCCTCGACTTAAACTAACATTCATTCAAATCACAACTAAATATCAGGAATCATTGAATACACCAAGTTGCGAACCAAACATCAAACCTCACAACTCATCATGGAGGTCCTCAGAGGCGTCGGCCGGCGCCTCGTAGCATGCCGCAGGCGTGACGAAATCAAAAAGATATTCGCATCTGTTCGGTTCTGAAACACTGGTAACTTTATTTTCGCCGCCGCAACTCAGACGCACTATCGTCGACCTGGTCGGGCCATTCCAACAAGACTGGCCCTTTTCGTAAGTCATTTGCTCATATTTGTTTGACTCAGGCCCAGACCAGTGGCCCCACGAACCTAGACGGGTATCGGCTGCGCCTGACTTGGGCTGCTGAGTAGTTCTATCAAAAGGACAGAGCTTGTAGATGTACTCCAGGTCCTCATAATCGAAGCATTGGCCTTCCAGAGTGGCGTACTCTTCCTCCTGGCCAAAGTCTTTCTGGAGGTATGACTGGATGTCTTTGATTTCATTTTCGATGTCTCGTACTTGCCTTTCAGCTTCTTGATATTCTGAACGAGCTGCGTTAGCCTTTTCAACGAGTTTTTGAGTTTCTTCGTCGTAGGGAACGGTGGTTGGTTGTTCTTGGGGTTCTTCTACTTGCTCAGGTTCTTGAGGCTCCTCTTCTTCCTCCTCTTCCTCTTCATCATCCTCTTCATGAGCTGAAATACAAATTTTTTGAAAGCGAATTGATCAAAATATTTAATAATTATTTCAATTTAATATTTAATAATTATTCACTATTCATACACATTCATTACCTGATTCATTTTGAAAATATAAATTATTTTTCAAAGTAATTCGAATAAATTCATGATCAGCTGATGAAAGAAAACTAGTTTACCTTCCTCTTGTTCATGCTCTCCATCCTGTAAATCTTCAGCTTCTGATGTTGATTGTTTAGGTTCTGTTATGGGAGGTTTGAAGACACCAGTTTCCATCATTAAATAGGGTTTGATACTCTTCCAACACTCCCCAACAAACGTTTCCAAGTCCACAGAATCCTGGAGGTTCAGGAAATATTTAGCCTCTTCTTCAGATACTGCAAAAACAAAAATATATAGTACAAGCTACATCAAATTGGAATAAGAACCTTCTCCATTCCTATCTTTGTCAAAGCTTTCTCTGGTTCTCAATTCAGAAATGTCCACCAAGCCGTCCTGATTTGAATCAAATTCATTAAAAGTTTCAATAGCTTCAGCTCTGTTCTTTTTCTCTTCTTCCTCAGCTTTCTTCTTCTTGATTTCCTCTTCTAACTGTCTGTAGTATTCAAGAGCAGCATTCTCTTGTTCCTCGACTTCCTTCTTAAGGGCTTCCCTTTCGGCTTTCAATTTTTCTGCTTCTTCTTTGTTTTTCTGCAACTCATTTATCTTCAACTGCTTCTCTTGTTTGAGCTGAATTCCTGAAAAAATGCTGTTACCAGTTTTGTCTGACTTTGATTTGGGTGAATTAAAAAAATATTTTCCTATATAGGTTTTGATGACATATTTTTCAAACGATCCAGTCAAAGACTTTGATTCTGAAAATATTCCTCCGGTTCAGATTCTGAGTGGGAAGGAATTAGAATATTTCTCCATTTATTCTCCAACTGTACATTTACCATTAATGTAATATGTTGAATTAGATAGAGATAATGTAATTCAGCAGTCACATTTGGAATCAAAGTAGTTGACCTACCTCTGAGTGACTATGACGAATTTGACAATTTTGATTAATGGATGCGGGCATTATTATTAGTAGAAGGTATTCAACCAAAAGTGTAGTTGCTTGATAAAGGCGAAGATGTGTAAATTTGCCTTTAATGCTTCTTGTCCAACACTTATATTGGTCAAACAGGAACAACTTTCTACACAAGAACTGAAGAGGACAGTAGTTTTTGGAATGTTTAGTAATCAAAAGATTCAATAATTCAGAACATTTGCCCAATGACCCGAACAAGACTATAAAAATAATCCCGAATACCTCGTCATCTAGGACAATTTGAATCTAGGTCTATAGACAAGAATATTTAATCGAAACACCATTGTCTTGGTTCTATAGACCGTAACAGCAGAGAACGTGTTCGTATTTCTCACCTTTTTGGCTTAGTTCAGCCCTCAACTGTTTTCCCACTTTGATCAACTCGGATCTACGTTGTGCAGCTTCCCTAGCACTTCTTCCAAGTTCGATGCAATTGTTCTGGCAGGATTTATCACTAGCATACTCATCAGTGCCATCACAGCAGTCACAGATCCCATCGTTAACTCTATTAGATGGAATGTTTTCAGGTCTGTGTCCGGCGTTTGTGCAGTGAAATATCCCATGGGGGCAAGCAGACGTTCCTGGCTCGTCACTGGCGTCTTGACAGTCACAGTAATCGTCGTTCACTTGGGTGAACGGTATCGTTTTACTGCCATCAAAGCAAGTGAAATCTTTATCTGGAGGATAAAGAGATGCTCTCGAGAGAGAAACGCCTCTCGGACGAGGTACTTCTGAAGATAAAATTTCACATACTAACACGATAATTATCAGAAAACTATTCATTAATTTAGGAATCTTGAAAAAATTCGCGAACATGGTACCGGCAACAAAAATTGTATATAATCTCATAACAAAAAATTGACCACGCATGCGCTCAGTCTGAGACACGTATTTCAATGTTTTTTGATGTAATTGGACAAATATGACGTTTGCCTGCTGTTCAAGGTATTCACCAATCAAAATACTACAAGATTTCATCTTATCAATTTTTTGAACTATAAGCTTTTTTCTTCTTTAGCTTAGGTGTAGACTTCGTATTAATTACAATTTTCGAAAATTCCAAGACCTATACCATAGTGTAGAATGTTTGTTCAGCTTCAGTACATTACAAATGCAGAACAAACCATTAAGCATTGGTTATTATTTCAGGATGAAAAAATATAGTGATGCCCTTGTATCTTTTTTTTTCTAATCAAACTATCATGGGGTTGTTTGAACAAGAAAAAACTATATCAGATCGGGTTTTTCCAATATATATTCTACTGGGGAGCTTAAGATACTCGAGGAAAGTTTCTTGTCTTACTTTACATACTCAGAATCTGAAATCATGTTTCATTTTGAAAATATCGTACAAAAACATGTAAGTATTCATTCTTTGAAAGACATTTTTTGTGATGGACTCAATAATTCTTACTTTCTTTTGGGTATATGACCTTTCACAATCTGGAAAATAAACAGAACTAAATCAATAGAGAATCTGTCATAGTGTTATAAAGGACAATGGTGCCGCTTTCCACTATCCCTTTTGATTATTCATTATTCTTTACTAAGACGGATGTTTGTCTCTAGACAATATTTTTCTATTTTACCGAGTCGGATGATCTGGTCCGGATACGTATGCACAGACACTGCCATAATTTGTAAAACAAAAATAATAATTATAATAAACGAGTAATAAACCCAGTCAGCTGATTTTTATGTGGGGATGTGGAGAATAATCTTTGTGTGTATCTTCCCTATTTCTTAAGAAGAAAATAGTCAGAGATGACTAATAAATTAAGTCGCATAAATAGATAATGGAGTTACAGCAATTATATCTATATTCACATTTATTTTACAGTTTTTTCATCATTTTAGCCAAAGGTACTACTTCTGTTCATTTCTTAAGTGAATTATAATACCAGTCTTGGAATGATTTTCAGCTTCAATTCACGAAAATTTGAAATATTTTCAAACTATCCATGCTGATGATGTTACTCACAAAATAGTCAAACGAGGATTAAAGGAGAGTAGCCACCCATTTAATCACATTAAAGAAGTGAATTTGAATACGCATGGCAGAGATTTCAGGCTTATCATCTCTCCCAAGAAAGACATACTCCATTCAAATTTCAAAGCTTATTCTGTAGACGAGAACGGCAAGGAAACTACGGTGCACATAGGTAACAACCAAAAGTGAATGAATGGATGCAGGAGTGCGTAATTAGTGGTTGTAGTATTCACTTATTTTGTGGCAGTTTATTGTAGTCTTTATCACGTTTGTATAAAATTGTCATTGTCTGGTGTAGTGACTATATATTGAATGTCTAGATATTTTTTTTGACATTGATCACTGGAACATAACAAATTTTTGTTATTCAAATCATGTTATTTGGAACATGTATGTTGTAATTGTACAAAAGAAAAATGTGATTTGTAAAAAAAAATTATGTTCAAGTAAGCAGTGTTGAAATGAAGTTGTTTAAATAAGTTTCTCAAAGTAAGATAGTGTTAATGATAATCTTGAAAATTAATATAGCTGCAGGTTTTTAATGCACTTTTGCATTTACAGAAAGATGATTTTAAATTCTTGTGAAAAAAATGTAGTTTAAGATATGTATTTTGATAAGACGTTTTTACTGACACTATCTAACATAGAACTTGGATATTTGATTTTAACAAGTAGAATTTTCTAATTGCCAATACAAAATCAATGATAATCAGATCAGTGTATATTTGTTTCACAAACTTGTTCTCTAAGGACAATCGTGATTCAGCCTAGCACCACTGATGATACCTGTAGGAGGTTGAAACAGCGGTGTTTGATGTTGGATCACAAATGCCGTTGCTATTGTAATGATACAATTCTGGACTTATCTCATGAATATTTATAATCTTCTCTAACAGCTAGTAAATCAGATCATGAGATCGAATTATTTTGAAACGGAATACATTCAAGTATGCATTGTGCATATTTAAATCAACAGTAATCATTTTTAGATCATGACGATTTTTATAATGGTAGAGTATTTGGTGAAACCGATTCCCACGTCAGCTTGCACATGGAAGATGGGGTTATGACTGGTAGTATCCACTTATCAGATGAAACTTACCACATTGAGCCATCCTGGAGGCATTTACCAAATCACGATAATAGAACAATGATCACTTACAAACAGTCAGATGTAAAATTCAGCTGGGACAGTCCAAAGGAATCGTCTGGGCAACCGAGATCCAAAATCTGTGACTATGTAAAAGAGGGGAGAGAGTTAGAACTTGATGACGATGATGAAGCAATCGAAGAAGATGAAAGTATTAAATGGAAGACTGGGCATCACAGGGAGAAAAGGCAAATAGACCCGTATGAATCCACCCCCACTAAAACTAGGTGTCCTTTACTGTTAGTTGCAGACTACAGATTTTTTCAGGAAATGGGAGGCAGTAACACTAAAACAACGATAAATTACTTGGTAGAGAATTTTATTTTCAACATTGCTTCTCATGTAGATACACACGTTTACTTTTTTTAGATAAGTCTTATTGACCGTGTTCACAAAATATACAATGACACCAGCTGGCAGGATAGACAAGAAGTTGATGGCTTCAAGGGCATGGGATTCGTGATTAAAAAAATTGTTGTCCACAGTGATCCTACCAGAATCAAATCTGGCGAAGCTCACTATAACATGATTAGAGAAAAATGGGATGTTAGGAATCTCCTGGAGGTGAGATTTTGTCACTTTCTTTCTAGAAGGTTTATTTCTTCAAACCTACGGAATGTTTTATTGTCAATTTCATAATCAGTTTGCATTTATTCACATTAAGCATGTCTTTTGGTAAAATGCAACCCTTTAATTTCAAGATTCTTTCACATTTTGGGGTTTTTGTTAAGATATTCTTTGTGTGAAGTATGTTTGGAATTTTTGAACTTGTTGAAAAACCCTGAAGACGCTTCTCGACCTTACTAATTAGAATGTCTAGTATATCACTATCAACCTAACAAGCATCTGCTTATTTTCTTTAGTTTTTCAGGCATTTTCCAGATCGACGGATCATGGCAATTTTTGTTTGGCACACTTGTTCACCCACCAGACTTTTAAAAATCTCAATTCCGTAGTGTTAGGCTTGGCCTATATTGCATCACCTCGACTGAATACCAGAGGAGGAATTTGCAGCAAGGGTCATTATTTTTTTTTTGCATATTTTGTTGTTTTCTCTGGTGGAGGTGTATGCTTTATATGAAACCCTGGAAAATTTGTTATTGTCTTGGTCAATTTTCATTCAACTCCAAATATATCTCTACACATAATAACTAAAAAATACTAGCCGAAGTTTTTCCACTGGTACTATCTTTATTTTGCGTACAGAAGTTAGAGAAGCTCAACTTTCACGAATATCAATTTGGTTGCAAATATCTACAAAGAAAAATATTAAAAAAAAAAATTGAGACATTACAAAACAATTACTTCCGAAACTAATTTCACGATGGACATTGCATCAAATTCAACAGATATTTAACCAAGTTTACTCTCGTTTGTAAAGCAGCAGGACTTACTTCAATCTATTCGAATTGATTTCAGAATTGAATAGTTTACTAGCAAATGAATATGTCTAAATAAAATCTCAAAATATTTCTCCCGACTACCTACACCGTAGGTTCTGGTAACGACTACTTCCCCGGTTAATATCATGCTAGATATTGAATTATATCTGATAGACATTTCTGCAAGATACCTTACAGAGGTTAGGTAGGAGAATGAATGAGATGTTCCTCGTTTATTCAACAGTAGGACCATGCTGATATTATTTGAGTAAATTACCTGACATCAGTGCACGAAAGATCCAACCCAAGCGAAGTGCCTGGGACTCTAATAATTCAATCGCGACTCAACTGCATGTATGAAACCTTCAACTAAAAGAAAGATTGTTAACTAGTAACAGCTCCATATCGTGATCTGTGTAAATTCCAAATGTTTTTCATGAAAAGTCCACCCTCTCTACACCTGTATAAAGTTCTCCATTACAATTTTTATATTTTTTTCACATTGTAGGAGATGAAAACTATCAAAAAAAGTCGATGAAGATGCCTGCACGAAAAATGGCCCTTGTTCAAATATTCAGGGCATATTATGAGGTCCAAACATGGTCCTGAAAAAATTTAGATCTATAGCAATGCAGTTGGACTTCAAACAAAAACTCGTTAGAACCAATAACCACTTTGATTCTTTCTGTGGTAGATGAACTGTAATCGCAAAAAAGGTGGCACCATCGTGCATGGTTCAGTTGTGACTGAATATGATATCTAATGATGAGGAAGCTTACAAATTTTCACTACACTTTCCATTATATTCACTAAACTTTCCATTATATTCACTAAAATTTCCATTATGTTCACTACATTTTCTATTTTGATCACTACTTTCCATTATGTTCACTACACTTTCCATTATGTTCACTACACTTTCCATTATGTTCACTACACTACTTTCCATTATGTTCACTACACTTTCCATTATGTTCACTACACTTTCCATTATGTTCACTACACTCTTCATTATGTTCACTACACTTTCCATTATGTTCACTACACTTTCCATTATGTTCACTACACTCTTCATTATGTTCACTGCACTTTCCATTATGTTCACTTTACTTTCCATTATGTTCACTACACTTTCCATTATGTTCACTACACTTTCCATTATGTTCACTACATTTTCCAATATGTTCACTATACTTTCCATTATGTTCATTACATTTTCCATTATTTTCACTATACTTTCCATTATTTTCACTACACTTTCCAATAATCTGCTCGCTTGTATATCGATTAATTCAAGTATCATCTCACCGCTGCTCGCTTATGAGTTCTAAAGACGAGGAAGCGGTAAAAGTGTTGCAAATTTTCATTACACTTGCCATTATTTTCACTACACTCTCCGATAATCCGCTGCCAGATATCTGAGTTCACCGATGACGATTTTCAACCGAGATGATCGTTGATGAAAATAAAGATATTCAAGAAGAAAAAATCATCTGTTAGGCCTACTGGGGCATCATGTGACACACATTCAATTCTACCTTAAAGATGGTGCTGAAAAGAAAGTAGTGTGGGGTCCAAGGTTTTTCATTCTCATATTGCAAAAATATTTAGTTCCAAGTAAATTTTATATGGAAACTTTTGTGAACAAATATAATTACCTCATAGTCATTTGTTGAAGACTTGTGTAGCTCTACATCTAGCTTTGTTAATTTTTGAGAAATATTTTTTCGTGATATTTGCAAATCTTCAGTAAAATTTTTTAGGACTCTATCTTTCTTTTAGTATAAAGTAACTGGGTTATCGATACACATTTTCCGTTCTCACTTGTTAATTTGTTCTTAATACAACTACAAATTTCCCAGGGTATCCTCTAGATGAACTATACTAACATTTGTTGTCTACTCTATTTATTAACATTGGTGACCAGGTCTTCAGCAGGGAGTATACTCACAAAGACTTCTGCTTGGCCCACCTGTTCACCGATCTCAAGTTTGAAGGGGGCATTCTGGGGCTCGCCTATGTCGGTTCGCCGAGGCGCAATTCTGTAGGGGGTATATGCACCCCAGGTATTTATACAAGCTTATGTCGTCTCTGCTTCAGCTTGCTACTCACAGGATGGTTCATTTCATTTCAAAATGATAACAATTCAAATGATTTCAGTCAATTAAACTAAGTCCTTCAGAGGTTTCCCCTGAATTTCAAATAAAAGTGATCATGACAATCGCCTTTATTATTTCCTCGTTAGAAAATATACAATAAGTTTGAAGTATCACAAGTGTATAGGATATAAAGGTCAAAATTAGTTTTTTGTTGTATTATCACTACAGAAAATATACTTCCACTTAACCATAAATAAACATATGTGTCAATATGAAAAATATCAACGGAGGTAGAAATATAATTATTTTCATTGAATTTGAGACTGTGGGAGGCATCTGAATTCGAAAATATATAAAATTTAATTTTCATTGTTTGTGATAGATATAAATACAGTGCATTTCTTCAATGCACTCAAAAAATTGAAATTTGGGATAATGAAATTAATGCATGAATACTTTATAAATATTACTGTAGTTTTTTCCCAACACCATATCGTTATTTTTAACACCTCGACACGTGTTTCGATCACCAAGTGATCATCTTCAAATTGGAAGGACAGTTTTAATCTTCGTCTTTGAAGATGATCACTTGGTGATCGAAACACGTGTCGAGGTGTTGAAAATATCGATTTGGTGTTGGGAAAAAACTCCAGTACTAGTCATTACTACACCAAAGGTTCCAAATAGTACAAAATAAGTACATGAATACTTTGTTTTGAAGTAAAATTGACAGATGAAACTTTCAAGATGGCGACTGAGCGCCATTTTGTATGGATGATACAAAAGTCTCCACACAGTACAAGGAGACACCTCACAAACATTTGCGAGGGAATAAGTAGACTGTTCAGGATTTACTACCATCTCACCAATTATTTGCGTTTGCTGTTCTTCTGGAATGGACGGATGACCTGGGGACTTTTTGTTACGTATACTATCGGTAGTTGTGAATTTGGATACAAGTTACCTCAAATATTTTCTACAGATAGGACGATTCGGAAAACGTTCATTGAAAATCCTTTTGGTTTTGTGAAAGTTACGCGTCGCACAGTAAATAAAAATCGCTTAAATTTTTTCTTCCAATGAACGAGAATTGACCATTTTAGAGATTGTTGACGTGGTACCTTTCTAGTAGTAAAACCGAAAACTAAATGAGAATATTCTAATTGAACAATGATGTTCATTGTCGTACTGACATTTTTTGACGTTTTTATAAACAAAAAATAACAAACCTTATCGGGTTGTTGGAATTGCCATATGGCAGATCAAAATTAATATTTCTAGAAACATCGATATTGGCTAAGGTAATTGAAAAAAGTATCTGTAACAAATTATTTCCTTTTTTGTTGAAACACAATATAATCAGTAGCTATCAACATGGATACTGCCCCGGTAAGTCGACGAAAGGAGCGGCTGCAACTTTTCTGGAGCATATTTATAACGATATTGACAAAGGTAAATTTGTAGCTGCGCTTTTCTTTGACTTATCCAAGGCATTCGACACCATAGATTTTGATTTACTTAAAAATAAATTATATGTAATAGGTATTAGAGGGACATTTCTTGCATGGGTAATATCATATATAAAGTTCAGGAAATTATATGTGGCATGGGATGATACGAACTCTGTTACATTCAACGTAGACATTGGAGTTCCACAGGGTTAGTTTTGGGACCACTAATTTTTTTGATTTATATCAATGATTCACCTCAACATTTAGGTACATATCAATATCACTTTTTGCCGATGATACTGCAGTCTCAGAATGAGCTGATAGTCCTGCGGAACTACAGTCGAAACTGAACACAATAAGTCATAAATTTACGAAATGGTGTCACACAAATAAACTTATAGTCAATGCCGACAAAACGGTGTTAGTTCAATTCTTCAACCGAAGACACTTAGAGCCTATACAGGTTGATATTAATAATGTCACTATCTATCCGTCGGAAACCACAAAATTTTTAGGACTTCATATAGATTCTGGGTTGAGTTGGCAAGTTCACATAAATTATGTTTGCAAGAGAATCAACACCAGTTTTTACCCATTGGTACAACTTAAAAAGGTTATGAACGAAGAACATTTGTTGAACATTTACTATGCAATGGTTTATTCAGTACTATCTTACAATGTGCTTTTGTGGGGAGAAGGGATTAACATCAATCGAGCATTCATCTCTCAAAAAAGGATAATACGTATGTTGTATGGTCTTCGACACACAGATTCCTGTAGACCCATTTTTAGGGAAGAAAAATTTCAACATTACCATCTATATACATTTATAATTGTCTACGTTTTGTAAAAAAGAAGTAGTCTGAGTTTGAAACTAATTCAAAGTGTCACAGTTACCCAACAACAAATGGAAATCTAATTAAACTGCGACAACATCGAACTAGATTGTTTCAAAAATCACCCTCTCTAGCAGGCTCCAAAAGCTATTCAATTGTCTACCTTTAAATATAAAGAGTATCCCATTAATGTCTACTTTCAAACAGAAAGTTAAAGAATACCTTTTAGAGGAATGTTTTTATTCTATCAATGAGTATTTTGAGTACACTCCCAAATAATTGTAATCCATGTACTGTATTCTCTATGTTACACATCTACATGTTTTTTTTACTTGACGTTTCCCATATCATTGTTCAATGATCATTTCAAAGGAATAAAATATAATTATTATTGTTATTATTATAATGGGTTTGTCTTCAGGAAACTATTAAATGTTCCGCCATTTTGTAGTAGGTGAAGATATTGACTTCATATTCTATGGTTGTGAAGTATTCGTCAGGAGCTTCAAAATGATGTGTCACAAGACCCCCCTTTCCATTTAATTTTCTTCCCAAGATGGCGCCCAGTCGCCATCTTGAAAGTTTCATCTGTCAATTTCACTTCAAAATAAAGTATTCATACATTAATTTCATTATCCCAAATTTAAATTTTTTGGGTTGACCCGTTCAAAAAATAAAAGGGGGGGGGCATTGAAGAAATGCACTTTGTAAACCGGTAGAGAAATTAGTTACATTTCTATCCCAATCACACAAGAATAAAAAAAATACCGAACAGTTTTGTTTCTATTCATTGTCAAAATTGTACGTTATTTATTATTTTCAATTGAAATGATCCTGCGTTTTCTAGCTTTTTGAACCGTTATTGCAAATAATTTCTTTTTTCTTACTACTACTATTATTATTACTAACTGGAATTAAAATAAAAAATATCTGGTAACTTTTAAAGCATGCTAAAATCGAGTTTCAGATACAACTTATCCATATTTTTTAACATTCTCTCATTTGAAACGAAACATTTCTCTCACGTCCTCGTGCATAATTTTCAGAATATTTCAAAAACGGATACACCCTGTATCTGAACTCTGGCCTAAGCTCGAGTCGCAACCATTACGGCCAAAGAGTCATCACAAGAGAGGCAGATTTGGTAACTGCTCACGAGTTTGGCCACAATTGGGGCTCTGAGCATGATCCAGATATTCCAGAATGTTCGCCGAGCGCAAGTCAAGGTGGCTCGTACCTCATGTATACTTATAGTGTCAGCGGTTATGACGTTAATAATAAGGTAAGAGAGTATTTCCAATATGGCCAATAATGTCGTAGTTGGGATGGAAAAATAGCATTTCCTCGGCTAATACCACGCTGGACATTAAATTATGTATGACCGACATTTATGCAAGATAGCTCATTTAGGTCGGATATAATTCAATGTCCAGCGTGATAATAGACGGGAAAGTACTTTGGGAGAGATAAATATTCTGTATTGTCTGTAGATCAAAAATTCTTATTGATAAAGCGTATCTTATGTCAGTAGATAAAAAATAGATAAAAAACAAAACACATATCAGTCAGAAGATAAACGTGAATAATTTAAAATATAAACATACATAATAAAACAATAAAATATAAATTAGTCCATCCTTGAAAAAGTCAGCAACTCAGTAGTATGGTTTCTCTCCTAGTAAAGGTTTTTAACTTTTTTTTAAATATTGTTGATTTTTTAAATTTTCCTTATCTCCAGTGGTAGATTATTATATATTTTACAACCATTGTGTATAAGAGTCTTTGACAAGATTTGACATTGGACAGTTTCCAGTATGAATAATACTCCAACCACCGTATAGATACGGTGCTCCTACTATCAGAAATCTTTACTTAATAAATAATGTACCGTATTGCCCGTTTTAGTTAGATTAGAATGACCTGCATGTGGTTGTTACTAACACCCCAGAAGGCAATGCCATAACGCGGGTGAGATTCGGGTAATGAATGATGAACCATTTTGCGCTAGACACTCCGAGTTCATTGGATATAACACGAACTGCAAAACATCCAGATGCTAGTTTGCTTTTGAGATCCTCAATGTGATTATCGAAATTCAGTTTGCTATTACTGTGAAACCCCAGCGGCGGCGGCTCGTGAGAGGAGGCAAGGGAGGCTTAGCCTCCCCATAAAATTCGAGGCTATTCATCGCAATAAATTAAAAGATATTGACAAATAATTATGATTATTTTTTTTCTAAAAATGCTAGGGTATCATTACTTTACCATTAATTTTTAATATAAATACATAATATGCCAGAAAAAACACTATCACTCACTGCGTAGTACGTACCACACTGTATCCTGCATCAACAAAACTCAAACGCACCGCCCATGAACGAATAACGAATAAACTATCAACCCAAAATAATAAATGCCATACGTTGCAAGGGAGCCAAGCCTCCGACCGCTTTAAAAAACACAGGTTCCACGAGACCGATCCAACAAATCGGGACATACGTCCCGATTTGTAATTTCAGTTGTAGAAATTATAGCGTCAGAGGAGGCTAGCCTCCAGTTGGTCTCCGTTAGTGTACGAATGTGTTTGTTTTTTATTTAATTATTCGGACGGGATACCGTGACGGAACGGGACTAAAAATATTCCGGTAAATCGTTTTAGTGTTTCTTGATAATATTTTTATTTGTGTATAAAACAGGCAATATTATATTATAGCAGTGCTTTTTGGTAATATTTTTAATGTGCTTTGGAAGTGTTTTCTTTCAATTTCAAGGTGTTTTCAGGTTTTCACTTATCGGTAAGTTTTTTTTTTTCATTTATTATGGATAAGTTGGACGAAATTAAAAAATCTGACGATATAGTCGATTGGTTTCTGACAAATAATTTTAAGTCTTTATCTTATGATAATAAATTTTACATTATTAAAACTCTGGGAAGGCCTCAACCAAATTTGATTTCAATTAAATCGTCAGATAATCGACAAAATCGTGGATTTAATATTAGTTGGTACGATAAATGCGACTGGTTAACCGGCTCCATTAAACGAGAAAAACTTTTTTGTTGGCCCTGTGTTTTATTTTCCGTACAAATCGAATACCAAACGTGGTCCATAATAGGATACTCCGATTTAAAAAATTCACCTCGTGTTATGGGGCAAATATGATTCACAATTTGGCACTTTTTTAAACGGTAGCGTTCTTTCGGGCACCTCAAAAACCATCCAAAATGAGCTTATTATAGACAGTGTGGCATACATTATTAAAGAAAATATAAGCAAGGAGATTGAAAGTGTTTCTTTTTTTGCGATATTACCTGTACATCACAACTTTCAATCGTTTTTTAGATATGTCAAAGATGGTAATGTGGTAGAATGTTTCATGGGTTTTCATGATGTTTCATCTGGGCGCACAGCTGACGATTTGTTTAATTTTTTAATTCGTACGTGTGACACCTATAATTTTAGGCAAAAGTTAATTGCGCAAACCCATGATGGGGCTGCGGTCATGGCCGGCCATTTAAATGGTTTACAAACCAAAATAAAGTCCATAGCTCCTCATGCACTTTTTACGCATTGTCATGCCCATGCCCTTACTTTAGTATTAAGCAAAGCGTGCAACAACATAAAAAATTTCGTGCCTCTGACGGGCTTTTCTGTGTGTATATAGTCTATATGACTTAAGCCTCCCCTGTTCTCCAATGCACGAGCCGTCACTGAACTCCAGGAATTTTGTATTACTTTTGTTCTCAATAGATTCATCTCCTCTGTCCTCTAAAAGGGACAACATGGTCTTTGAGACATTGAAAGAAAACTTTGAATTACACTATTTTCTAATTACGTTGACATCATTATGAATTAATCTATTCAAGGATTCTAAATCTGAACTATGCTAGATTATGGTGGTGTCATCGGCATACAGTGTATCTCCTGTTTCTCTTCTATACAGTATTCATACTTATTCCAACAATTTATTTATTCATTTAATTTTACGGGAATGCCTATTGTTTATTAAATAAATAACAAGTACACACATATGTATTTAACGGTAATCTAAGCTAGGTTTAAGGAAAAAATATATAAAATATATAAACTCAATGAACTGTTATAATAATTAGAAAATATGTTTAACCAGAATATGTAAAGTTTTTCAAAGATTATAATATACATGATACAACTTGTACTTCCAGAGATTTTCACCGTGTAGTCTGAGATCAATTAGAAAAGTCCTTCAGGCAAAGTCTGGAAGATGTTTCTCAGAACCAGAAGAGAGTTTCTGCGGCAACCTGAGAGTTGAAGGAGACGAAGATTGTGATGCAGGTCTTTTGGGAACTGAAGATAACGATGCATGTTGCGACAAGGACTGCAAGTTGAGATCCAAAGCTATGTGCAGGTAAGCTACGAAAAACTTTGTCCGTTGTGAAAATCATTGAAAATGGATATCTTCTAGCGATAAAAACTCACCGTGTTGTCAGAATTGCCAATATATGCGAAACGGGGTCAAATGTAGGGAGGCCCAGTACGCAACATGCGAACAAGAATCTCGTTGCACTGGGCAGCAAGCTGATTGCCCCAAAAGTCCTCCTATGGCTGACGGGACAGATTGTCAAGAAAGAGGAAAATGTAGAAGTGGAAAATGCATTCCGTTTTGTGAAACGCAGGGCATGCAGAGTTGTATGTGCGATATAAGTAGGTATTGAAGATTGTAGTAGGGTTTTTTATATTATAAACTTTTTGGAAATGGGGTACCCAGTAATATTAGTTACGTAACAGACATATGGGTACCCCTTGACGAGTGATATGCGATGTTGTATGTAGCGGTGAAAGGGTGCTGTAGTGAATCCGTCTTTACCTTTGGTCACCAGTGTAATATATACGACTTTATAGCTAGTCACCACTTGTAATGAGACGACATATGTTTAAATTATGATTTAGCCAGTTGTCACCATTGTAACAATCCAGCCTTTTCTTATCTATTTGTCACCACTATAATAATATGGCACAACCCGGGAAGACTATCTCCAAAGACCGTCCGTGACCGATTCTCGAGAGACCACAGCTTCAAGCGAAAAACCACGCAAACACTGTCCCAAAAAACTCCCAAAGCAATCACAGGTACTTTATCATAAGTTTTTTGTAACCACCCCCGATCAATGGTTAATTTTCCACGAGTTGATCTCGATTTGCCAAACCCTAATTAGCCTTTGGCCCCGCCTTAGTTGAGATGGTCGCTGGTTTTATGCCGTCCTCATCAAAACGGGCCCACGCGAGCTAATTCAACCGCGTAGCTAGCGGTTCTTTAGATACAAGGTTTGAAGGCTGATATATTTTCGTTTGCTCTTTTGTCGGTCTCAAATAGGTGAGTATTTCTCTGACTGGTTTTTATAAACAAATTTTATGGCTGAGGTTATTAACTTTCACGAGGCGCGGGAGAGAGTTCTGAATTAAAATGAATCTTCCTATTCTCGGAAACGGAAATACTAGAATAAATAGCTTTTGCTAGGTAATCCTGGACAATCGCTTGAATTTTCATGAGCACTTGAGTCTGGCAATTCAGAGAGCGGGAGCAGGGATTGAACGCAACTACCCTCTCATTGCACGAAATTTCAAACTGAGCTCTTCATATAAAATTATCAGGCCAGCTATGTTGTACACTTGTCCTGTGATCTGCAGCCTCAAGAGGACTTCGTTATGGAGACTCGATACAATGCAGAATAAGATGCTTCGTATCACGGCAGTTAGAGTTCATCATGATCAACTTCGCCGTCACGGTGGGTTGATTTATGAAGCCCTCGATATTTTCCATGAGCGACATGTAAATGACCGTTTGTAAGTTCATGAAAAAACTGGCATAGAAAACTTTCTATAGACATTCTGTCCTGGTTTTTTCATGAACTTTTTTCAGGAGTATCTAGCCAAACAACACATCGACAGCTATGTTATCATTTGAATGATCTGAATATCAAAACCATGTAATGATGTGCATAAGCCTTGGCGCAGGAGGCACATTACCCAATCGTTTTTAATGAAGTCAATGTTTCTGGATGAGCGTCAACCCGCTAACATCAGGCCCCCGCCTCCTATAGGCGGGGGCGTGAGGGAGCGCTTGTCTGAAGTAGAGGTCACTTTGCTACTCTACCCTCAAGGTAGAGGTACTCATGAAATAAAGACATGTAGATCATTTTAATAAAAAGAGTTTTGCTTTTGCTAGGCATTACAGTGCTGATTCAGATAATGTCATTTTTCATTTGTAAAAGTTTTATGATGCCAAATCGTGTCTCCTGTTCTTAGTTCTACATCGATTAAAACTACAGTTTGCTTTTGATCCGTATTCAGATTGTCAGATATTAGATTGTCCTGTTACTGACTTGCTTTATTTCAGTTGAAAATGCCTGTAAGAGATGCTGCAGGTCAAATATCAACGAAACTTGCTCACCAGTGGATTCTGCAGACATATTGGCAGATGGAACCCCTTGCATACAAGGATTTTGTAATAATGTAAGTTTTGACAAATCTGTGTATTATTGTACATTTGAAAGATTTCAATTAATTTGAACCCACGCCTTATTGTGTCAAAGTTATTCTTCGGATTTGTCGGTCATGGTCTCCAGGTTTTTATACCTGACGTTTCATCTACAATTGCGGTTAACATCATCAAAGGTGATGAGCCAACGGACGCTTTGGCTTAGTTGTGATCACAGGGCATACCAAGTTGTTCAGGGTTCAAATCTCTTATTTTATTCTATCGTTGGTGAGTTTGGCTTCGTTGCTATTGGTTTAGTACAGGTACTCAGATTTCATTGATGTTAATTCTCTTTTCGTTCGGTCAAAATTGCCTGTGATTTTCTATCACTCCCCTAAATGCCTAAATGCCCTCTTAATGGAAAAACAATTAGTTATGAGTTCTGTAGAGCATTCTCTAGGTGCATTTTCCGCTAATACTGATTTCCAAGAAGACACTTATTTTGTGGTTACAATGCAGACGAATCCAAAGCTACAAGAGATTCGGTATATCCGTGGTATTTCTAAGGACAAGTTATCACATTTGAAGAGAATCAAATTGCTACTCAGAACTCATGACTATTATCCAAGACTATAAAACACATGGATAATTTTAATCAAAAGTGACAAGTATACGAATCATGTCAGTTAAAACATTATCTATGGAATAAAAGCAGACCCAAACCCTGACCAATGTAGCAACGGGTGATTTTTTAAGAGGTATAGGATTTCATTTTCAAAACAACACAAACAATTTGAAAAAAATTACTTTATTGGAATCAATAGAACGATCAATATAATTTAATGTTTGAAGATGATTTCATGCAAATGTTGTCCGCGGCTCCGCTTCAGACGGCCCATGAGCAAGGTCCAATTTTGGCACACTCTCTCTAACATATCGACCGGTATTTCACGTATAAATGCTTCAATATTAGCTTCCAGAGCGTCAGTCGTTGCTGGTTTATCCCTGTAGACATGAGCCTTAACATAACCCCACCTGGAATAATCCAAAGGCGTTAAATCACATGATCTAGGCGGCTCTCAATTGGGCCATGTCAGGCATGTCCAATTCATCCATTTTGGGCAACAAAAAGTCGCCAATCATCGCACGGTAGTGCTCGCCATTCACAGTAACGTTCCGGCTATTGTCGCCTTTGAAGAAGTACGGCCCAATGATGCCACCGACCCATAATCCACACCAACCAGTGACTTTTTCGGAATGCATCGGTAGCTCTTGCAATGCTGTGGCTGCAGATGCGGCAATTTTGCTTGTTAACGTATCCATTCAACCAGAAATGAGCCTCGTCGCTGAACACAATTTTTCGATAAAAATGTGGATCTTCCTCCAACTTTGCCAGGGCCCATTCACCAAATGTTAGGCGTTGTGGGAGGTCGTGTGGCTTCAATTCTTGCACCAGCTGTATCTTATAAGGTTTTACACCCAAATCCTGTTGCTGCGAACGGCGGCGAATCGACATTTCACGGTCATCACGAACACTGGCGGATACAGCCGCAATATTTTCTTCGGTCCTCACTCTACGTATGCGTGTTGGTGGTTTAATGTCCAATAATGTAAACTGGGTTGGAAATTCAGTCACAAGCTTCCGAATAGCTCCCTCAGTAGGCTGACGAAACTGCCCTTAAATTGGAAGAAGTGCACGATGCACTTTACCGAGAATCAATGTTGATAATAAAATTCAATAATTTGCAAGCGTTGTTCATTCATAAGTCGATTCATGGTTAAATTATAGACCAAACTGAACAAGTTTGACAATGATACAAGACACGATTCACGCGTGATCTGTCAAAAACAGTGTTACCAAAAAGATACCAGCAAAAAAATCACTCATCATATGCTGTAAAAACCACTAGAGCATCTTTTACCACATGGCCTTTTACCACACATTACAGTCCTTTATTAACATTCATTTGATACATCATTTGGTTTTTTAAATTTTTATTAGATATTATAGAAATTGTATATGAAGAAAAAAAGTAGTTCTGTCAAAATGTCTAATGTCAATTATAAAATAAAAATTTCAAAATTAAGTTGCATATGCTTCATCACAATTTTGAAATATGTTGTGTTTTTCTTTTTAACATCATGTTCCGGAGAGATTACTGAAAACGATGAATTCAATATTTGATTCATATGTAGTTGAAGAAATATTATACATTGTTATAATATCTAAGACGATGGCATTGAATTTAAACATTTCACGTGTGATATTACTTTTCAAACAGTACCTACAGAAGAATTCGGTTTCAGGGACATTGCGAGAAGACAGTCCAAGATGTCGTAGAACGGTTCTGGGACATCATTGAAGATATCAACATCAATAAAGTACTACTTTTCTTGCGCGACAATATAGTCGGGTCGGTAGTTCTTGTAACGGCTCTTATTTGGATACCCGCAAGCTGCGTGATTAGTTTCTTCGACAGAAAAAGAAGACGAGAAGAGCAGGAGAGACTAGAGTGGAGAAACAAATCAGAACTGATACACAGTTCCGACAATATCAGACGGGTGATTCACTTGAGGGTGCCCAAACAGAGAAACGTCCCTCAAGTATCTACTAGTCAGTCTATCATTCCAGAATGAACAGTAATATAAGACTCTCTAGTATTTCAGATCAGTAGAATCATAGTTTTTGAATCATTTCTAGTAATCAGTCAGTCAAAAGATTTTACTCCAATAACATGTAGTTAGCATTTTTTTAGATGTTTCTCTGCAAAAGGTCTTTCATGGAAAATCATACTAAACTAGTATTACATTCTCAAAAATAGTTTTTGAAAAATGATGGCTACAAATTTTAATTATACTAAGTGACAACACCAAAATCCATAGAAATGTTTATCACTAGAGAAACATTTTTTTTAATGCTCAGCAACACTTTGCCATAATGAATAGTTTCATGGACTCAATACAATTCCTTGAATGTGTTCAGAAAAAATGTGATTAGATTTCATTTACAGCTTGATACATGAATGCTATAATAACAGGATAATATTAAATATATGATTTATATACATATCAATCGCTCAAGGCTTGCCCAAAGAGAATAAAGTCAACCGGGGTGTTGAGTTTCATTATTAAAATAGGGAAAATTTAATAAAATTGCAATAATATTTTTCAGATCATATTTGAATTTGTTCAATGAAAGTTGTTTCATTTCATCTGGTAAATGATTTATATCCTAAATAATCCTGTACCTATATAAATAGAGAACTCCATTGTAAATGTGATCTATTTATAGTGTGCAAGAGTTAATAACTGGTTTCTCAGAGGATACTGATGACTGGATCTAGGATATCATTAACATAAATTCAAAAAAAGGGAGGGTCCTAGGATGAAACCTTGTGATACACCTGCTTCCACGACACCACTTTCTGAGTAATACTAATGAATCCTAACTAACATGTTTCGCTTAAAAAGATAGCTCTTGAACCATTCCAACGATTTGTTCATACTGGAAGTTTCTCAACTTGAACGAACGCTCTGTGTATATTTCAAGAAGCAGAACCCGGTATATTCTCAACTTGCCTAAACTCTTCACCAATTTCGATGGAGAGGTATACAGCTAAAACCTTTCTTTCCCTATAAATAATTCTTCACAAATAATTATTCCTAATATGAATATCAAGCAGTTAATTTGAATTGCATCATTTAAATTTTTCCACTGTGGGATATATGGGATGCCAAGAGGAAGACTTTTACAAATGTGTTTAAATTTATTAGTTTTCTTAATAACGTCAACTAAGACAGTTTTTTTTTCGGGTAGAATCCTCTATTTTCTGATAGTTATTTTATTAGTGACTTTTTCGATATTATTTTGAATATACAAATCCTTTTTATTTTTTCTTTCTGATTATATACATTTTGTATAAATCATAAATCAAACCTAAGAACATTTTTAGATCTAATACTATGTTCATGCCGCAAAAACGCAAGTGAAGACTATTGATTTTTAGCAAGTTATTTGTCGAGAGGACCTTTATAATGGTTTGCTTAATCATTGGGTATTTGGTCCTTCGAGCCGGATCAACTCTATTTTTCACGATGAACCGATTTATTTTGATGAAAAATTCATTTTTAGTTTAATTTTCCTCATATCTCTACTTTTTTAAAAAAAATTATAAAATTTCTTAGGTATTTGCTTTTTGGTTGGAAAAAACTATTTTTGTGTACATCATATTATGAAGTAACAGTAACACATTTTATTTTGGCTCATTTGAGCTTATAGTACTGGTCTGTATTCTTACATTTCTGTGACATACTTTACTTTGGTGCTCTTAATAATTTATTCATAGTAAGGAAGGTTTATTCTTACCAAATTTTGTTCTTAAGTTTAAATGTACCTGAATAATTTTTATAATGTCCAGACAGTAGATCATTCGTTTTAATAATATATATTCTGTACCTAATTTATTTTTACAGTTAACGTTATACTTAGGTGACAACTCTAGTTTTCCTTTAGTTGAATAGTTATATCTAGATATTTGATCCATCTTTTGTAAAGTAGCGTGTTTCTCCAAATGTTCTTAACTAGAAACTGATATTCCACTAGTAGTATACATTTATATTGCCCAATCTGTTGAATATATACTTGAATAAAATATTGTCAGTAAGAAAATATTATCTTTATTTTGAGATGCCAGTACAATGATGTGCAACTTGTGCGTGTAGGATTTTCTTGCAGATCTGTCAGCAAAATGGCTTCCTCGATTTCATTTGGATTTGAAGACTTTCCAAAATAATGTTGGATTCCGTTAATCAATATCACTCTACATGTGACGGTACAGTGTTGTGGATTCTACAACATGATGATATAGTAATTTGATTAGATGTAAATTTTGATGACACTGACAAAAAAAAATATGTAAAGTTATGTATGCTAATTCATGAATGTTCACCTCGATTTCTTTGAATTACTTTTGTGAACCTATAAAAATCTAGAATTATCAACATTTGATATTTGCTTCCTCCCCCGGATCAAAGTCATATATATAAGAATAATATTATTTAAGCAAGAATTCGAATATGATACGATAACTTACATAGGAGCAATGATATTATATAATCAAAGTATAATTGTGACACAGGACCTAATATTTGTATGTTAAAACAGTAGCAAACTCAATTTCCATTGTTCTATGCACATGAAGAATTAGTCTTACTGGCATGATTGCAAACCTGTCGATTTCCAGTACTGACAAATATCATGTTGAAGTGTAGTACATAAATTTAGTATCAAAAACTTTCCAATAGGAAAATTCGTTTGTTTTCCTTTCTTCATTGATTGATCAAAAACATTTAAGGACTCCATAAAACAGATTTGGGTGTTTTCATCTTGAGCTGTTTTTTTTTCTTAGTTTTTAGCTGATTTCCAGAGTGTAGATTGTGGATAAAGTCAAACCCTTATCAGGATTGAATCATATAAGTTATATTCTCCTGAAGAATTTAATGGAATTGAAATTCTTTGTTCCATTACATTTTTAACAATATAATACACTTTGCAAGCTATATCTTAACTAGCTTGATTAAGACTATATCTGCACTGTTGAATTCAGGGTTTTGTTCTTCTCTTGGTACGAGGTGAAACTCGAAATAATCTTTGATATGGTTCACAAAATATTCCCAGCAATTTTTCTGTTTCTCTGTATCTCTCAACTCCTGCGTTAAAAAAATTGTTGTGTCATCCATTGCTAGTTCTTTCAAGGTTATGACCAATGAATCGATGGACTGAAAATAAATATCCAGTGGAATAGCTGAATTCCCATGAATTTGTATTCTCACCTCTTTATAATAGACACAGTCCGTCAGTAATATAATATCAGGAGAACATTTGATATTTGCTTCCTCGCCCCAGGTCAAAGTCATAGTTTCCACATTTCCTTGGGATTGTTGCCATGCTACCTTATTCGTTTCTACATTTTTAGACATGAGTGGGATAGCAACAGGAAGGTCTGTTAGCAGGACATTGGCTCTAAAATAATAGCAAATGTTATTTTATGAACTTGGAAAATCCATAATAATATATTGACAAACTCATTATTTTTTCATAAACTACACTTTACGATTTGATCTCTACAAACTTTACTTGAGAAATATATCACATGTTTCGCTAACACAGTAGCTTCTTCAACAGTGATTTGAATATTCAAATTACTGTTGATTTGGCCCTTGAATATTCACAAGACTTTAGGGAACACCCTGTATATTATGAGTACATATCTAACCTATTTCATTGTTTTCCTTAGTTTTTACTCTGATTTTGTGTTGGCGCTAGCGACACCTTGCGGCAATGGAACTGCATAGTGCAGAATACTTCAAACTGGGGTTAATAGAGGACGCTGATATGTAAAATCGTTTCTTCACTTGTTATTCAACTGAGTATATTTACTATTTACCTTTTATTCCTACATACCCCAAACAGGCCGCTGTAATTCCCACACATCCGACTCCTGCGCCCAGTTCAATCACATTTTTGTTTACCAAAAATTTGGTATTGGTCTGGCAAAGCGTTTCCAAATATTTCGCCAAAACAATAGCCGCGTCCCACACGACGCAGCTGACATCGCCTTCTAGTTTTTGATGGAACCGTAAAACTTTCGATATCGACTCGATTTCCAGCTCTCGGATATAACTTTCCTCCATTTCATTGATGAACTTGATTGGAAAATACAGTCAGCCTTGATATTGTCAGCACGTGTCTAGAGATTGCAGTGATCGATTACATCGATCGTGCTTATGACGTCATAGTAACATGTGGCAGAGATGCCTCAATTATTATCGACACAGATAAATACAGACCTTGGAATATTTTTATGTTGGTGGTAAATGGTAAGCAGTTTACAGGACCCGATCTAGTCACAAGGTAGCCGTAAATTTATTTCATCAGTTCGGACTTCCATTGTCTAATTTAATATAAATCGATTTGAAATCCCTGAAAGAATATGTAAAATAATTAAAAAGATTAACTGAAAAATACCAATTTTATTGAACAAAAATACTGAAACACTGAAAATATAAAAAATTGAAATAATAATACAAGCTGAACATTAAAAAAAAGAAATGAAAATTTAAAATTAAAAGATTCCTAACCAAGTTATTTCACGACGTTTCTATTGTTAGTATTCACAATCGTCTTCGGGTGATAACTGTTATCACCCGAAGGTGAATTTTAGAAGGTAGGTACAGTTACAGTAAGGACTTTTTCATCGTGAGTTTCCACCCATTTCAGAATCTTATTTCACATTTTAACAGTGTCAATCGTTTTTCAATTAATGAAAGGTAGAACTAGATCATTTTTATTCTGATTCCGAAGAGCTATCCCCCACCATTTTAGGGGCGTTATGCCCACACGAATTTTAAATTTCGAAATACATTAGTAATCCTACTACCTATCCCAAAACTGTTTAGTTCTTAACTTATGACGTCAACTTGGTTAGCGAAACGCTCGGAAGATAGCGCTCTAGTTGCGGTGCGTGGAAAAATTGTTTTCATGATATACTTTCCCTTTCAAACAAAAAAGATAAAAAAGACAAATAGCTAGTAAGAGACGGCCAGGACTTTGGGCTGGATGGGGTCCTGAAGTTTCCTAATTTATATTCACAGGTAGAATCAGTGGTAGAACTAAGCTAGCACATGTTTTCCAAAGATCCTGAATCACAATCATGAGCGGATTCATGTGTGTATAAAGAGGATATTAAATGACAAGTGGAATTGATTTATGTCTATTCATTTCATCTGAGAAATATGAAGAACGTTCCATTCGATTTTATTGTTAACTAGTCCCCTATACGAGTCGTTGTTGAGGTTTCATCTAACCTACCTTATTGACTTTTTTTTTTTGTTGAAAGCTGGTTTTCAGTTTTTTAGTTGTAGTTAGTCAGGAAAATATTTAAACCACCATAATTTTATGCATGACATGCGAATTATAAAAATAAATTTGGAAATGCCATGACATCTCTCCAGTCTGATATTTACCATAAAAATACATTTTTGGGTGGTAGGTAGTGGAAGAGGATCAAACAACGAGTCATACAAATGGTAGTTGGGCCTTGATTATCGAATATTGCCAGGAGAGTCTGATGAATATAAAATACAACAGAGAAACTCAATATTTTTTTTAACAGCGGCTAAAGCTGAGAACGAGTTGGAGAGCTCAAACAACGAGTCATACAAATGGTAGTTGGGCCTTGATTATCGAATATTGCCAGGAGAGTCTGATGAATATAAAATACAACAGAGAAACTCTGTATTTTTTTAACAGTGGCTAAAGCTGATATCGAGTTGGAGAGATCAAACAACGAGTCATACAAATGGTAGTTGGGCCTTGATTATCGAATATTGCCAGGAGAGTCTGATGAATATAAAATACAACAGAGAAACTCTGTATTTTTTTAACATTGGCTAAAGCTGAGAACGAGTTGGAGAGCTCAAACAACGAGTCATACAACAGGTAGTTGGGCCTTGATTATCGAATATTGCCAGGAGAGTCTGATGAATATAAAATACAACAGAGAAACTCAATATTTTTTTTAACAGTGGCTAAAGCTGAGAACGAGTTGGAGAGCTCAAACAACGAGTCATACAACAGGTAGTTGGGCCTTGATTATCGAATATTGCCAGGAGAGTCTGATGAATATAAAATACAACAGAGAAACTCAATATTTTTTTTAACAGTGGCTAAAGCTGAGAACGAGTTGGAGAGCTCAAACAACGAGTCATACAAATGGTAGTTGGGCCTTGATTATCGAATATTGTCAGAAGAGTCTGATGAATATTACATACAACAGAGAAACTCTGTATTTTTTGAACAGTGGCTAATAATGAGCACGAAAGTTGGCCTTATTGAAGGCTGAATTATCTTTAAGAGTGAGTTGAGTTGCCCCAGAGAAGTGCACCGTAATTTAGGTCAGTAAAAAAGCGAGTGATGAGAATAAGACAATAGGGCTTGCGGACTTTCTGAAACTTGGCGAAAAAACTGGGAAACGACCAGCTAATTCTATGGTGGTATTCAAATGCCAGTTTTGAATACCTGAAATGAAATTTCAATAAAATATCTAGTATGTTTAGGTATCTTTCACGTAAGGCCGTTTTTGCCTGGCCCTGGTTGGCGAAGATTCTACCGATGAGAAAGTCATCGAAGTGCTTGAAAAGATGGTGATCTGTTGGCGAGAGGTCTGGGGAGTATGGTGGGTGAGGCAGAACTTCGACGCTGAATTCGTTTCATTTTCTGACGGTAATTTATGAAACGTGCGGACGGGCGTTGTCGTGGAGCAGGATCGGACATCTTCTGTTGATCAGTGCCGGCTGATGCATATTCTGATGAACAGTAACAGCAAACATCAATACGTTATCGTTGACATACTCACCCTATAGTCACATTGGTTACAATGCAGAGGTCTGTTAGCAAGTGACGCGTTGCCTTTATAGTTGTCTTTGTGTTTTCAAATGTTTTGATACGAATGAAATTGAGCTGATTGAACTCAAATCTTATGCTGATTCTTAACCAATCTCCCTAATCAAACGATGTGATAAGTACGTATGTCAGAATCGTACTGGCCTTTAGTATCACACAGAAAGTTTGAAGAAGAAGCTCTAGTCCATTTTGCTATAATACCTTATAGTTATGTTGTTATGCTGCTGTCGTGGGAGAGATGTGATGTTCCTAATAAATTTCAGGAGCTTATTTATTACGGTTTTGAGGTGGTTTTTATTGTATGCTGCCACCAGAAATTTCTCTCCTGCCTCTAAAATATCTTCTGCTGTGGTATGACGATCTATAAGCTTCCCTACATAGGCTGAAGGTTTAGATGCTTTTCAAGTGTTTTTAGAAATTTCAGTTTTCCTATTTTTGGTCTACAGTGGAATCACATCCAGTTATTACATGTGAGAGGAGGATTTGTTCTGCCAGCCTTCTTTCCATGGATTTGCGGGGGAGATAAACTGGTAAAAAAAACTAACTTCACCTCTTTCTGGTTTCAGGAAATTTACAATGGAGGTTTACAGAATTGCTATTATAATAACCAATAGGTTAACGTTCTTACCAACTATAAGGAGTCACTAATACCGACTGTGAGATTTTCATTCTGTATTATATAGTGAGTTTTGATAAGAATTTCCATCAAATATCAGAACATGCTATGCAAAAGAAAGTAGAAAACCAAATTGACATTATAAACTATCTCAATTCAGTTGGAGTTAATATATAGATTTTATAATCCACTATTTGTAAAAATAACGGTTCATATCTTGTGAACCATAATTTCTTCCAAACTTTGAGTTACTCAGTTGAATAAGGGAACGTAGTTAGGCGATTCTATTTAAGCCAGTGAAACCATAGTCGAAAAACTAGAAAAAAGGGTCTAAATTTCAAGGTTTTTTTGCTATTTGGTTTATGAAGCCGCCCCCATTTCAAATGACACAAAAAACGGCAGAGAAACTTTCAATACTGTTTCACATTTGTTGTAATCTGATATAAATCAATTTGCAATGCGACGTTTCGTTCATTAGATTTTATTTTCAACTTCATCATTTTTTTTAAATACGGACCTGTACTGTAATACATAGCTGAATTTGTCATTACAGCGGCTACAAAAATTGAATATGAAACAGTATTGAAAGTTCCTTTGCCTTTTTTAAAATGGGGGCGGTAGAGCCAAAATACGAAATTCGACAATTCTAGTTGTTGACGAAAATTTCGAAAACAACTACCGGTATTCTTAATCTGAAAAGATGAGGTTACCCATTCTAGTTTCCCAAAATATAAAACTTTTGTCCAATTACACCAAGTTTGTAGGTCCTACAGTTTTCGACATACCAATATTGGGACCAGCTAAAAAACGGCCTGTACATAATATAACATATATACCGTTTTTCGGGACTGTATTGCATTTTATTAAATTGAATTATTCAGACAAACAAAGATATCTCTGAGACCTTGATAATAGTATAATATTATTGCAAACTTATGTACAAACAATATTGAAAACATTGCGTTATAACCGATTTGAAAAAAGGAACCCACATTCCCACATGGAAATCTTGTAAACAAGGTTACATAGAAGAGCACTCGAAATAAAATTTATTGTTATCTCCAATATAAAGTAAATTAATATCGATTGTACTGATCCTTGATTGTGTGCGCCAATGAGCGCTGGAAATTCAAGCTATAACAGTGCGCTTTAACAGTTACCAAACAGGTTTCAACTGAACTTTTTCCAGTCGAAAAGTGTTTTTATCGAGAAACATGACGTTGTCAATAAGGTAACGTTAACATTAATAATAGAACAGTAATACCAGAAATTTGAGGTTGGGATTCATCGATCATGGCTTTAATGGAGAAAGCAGCATTGCCGGTGTATTTTCTTATTTTCCTCTCGTACCTGTACGCTATAAAAGGCCAACGAGATTTTGGTAACATGAAAACGTCCGACTTTCACATAATCAAGGAAATGAAAACCTTCTCCAATTGTTACTTCACTGGATGGACTTTCGTGAGTATTAAACCACATTTCAAATTTAACGTTTTCACTTCCATTCAACTGATTTCGCTTTTTGGTAGTCCATTGACGTAGTTGGAGAAAATATAATGGGTGCAGAAGTTATGAAACTTTCTATGTTTTTACCACTTTTATTTGTAACTAACGTTACTGCAGTTTCAAATTTATACAAAAACGAAACTGCAGTAACGTTAGTTACAAATAAAAGTGGTAAAAAACATAGGAAAGTTTCCTACCACGTAGTAACGGCTACATCCATCAATTTATTTGTTGCAGGAGTTGTTTATTCCCTAGAAAAATTAGAAATTCCTGGCAAATAACACTCTAACACCTCCACAACTGAATTTAATTTTGCGGTGGTGATTTAGAAAACTCTTTTTAAAGTGGAAACTCATGTTCAGTTATGCTTGATATTATTGTTTTGTTAAATATACATAGTTCTTATTTTTATTGAATCTAATACAAACGTTCAACGTAATTCAATTTTATTGTCTGAAATGAAAATTACATGCTTTTCTTCGAATATTGCAAATCACGTGAGTAAAAACTTCTAAGAGTTGCTCTTACGATGGAGCTGGTTATTGGTAGGTAGAAACGATTGTAAACCATTATTTGAAGATAATTTTCATGAAAGTACAAGAAGTCTGCTGATCAGAAAAGTATCGCCCGAATATGACATTTATAATAAAAATAACAGCTCGTTACGCCAGCAACGCAAAGTACGGAAATCGCATTTAGGAAATGCTCAAATCAGGTACTTTTTAGGTACCGAAGTCAAAAATTAGGTGCTCTGTAACTTACACCGCAACTCAATACTCAAAGTAGCGTTGCTAGCATTATGTGATGCCAGCAACGCAATGAAAATAATAATAAAATAATGAGTGTTAAGGGAACACTATTAGGTGCTAATTAAGTGCTAAACGGCGAGGATCTTAAATTTTTCTAATTAATTAACAAAAGCTTCCAATTTCGCTAAACAACAGATCTAAGAATCAGGTCTCTCGAAAACGAGGACGAATGCTTCATCAGGTATAACCTATAAGCGTGGTAATGAAGTGGTAATTAGGTGCTTGCAAGAAATTAAGATGAAAACGACCGCGAATAAGCGAAAAAAAATTCGAGATACCTGATTTGAGAAAAAAAATTAACAATGTGCAATAAAGTCTTGAGATACTCGTAAATTAATACATATACAATCAAAATAAAGTACTAATTGAGTGCTCACTAGATATTCATAGTGAAACTAGATTCTTTAATGCATATGGACCTGAAAACCACCATGAATGATGTACTAAGTTTTTATAGTATGTTATTTAATGAATAAGGGCAAGAAATTAAAGTGCTAATTAGGTGCTCACTAGATAAATAATAGTTAACCTAGATTCCATAATGCCTATCGATTTTTTCTATTTGAAGTGATGGCTCTGACAGATTAAACAACTTGGTAGCCACATCTGTCCATTCTGCTGCTACATCGTTCCTAAGATCGGCCAGATTCTCATTAAATGAACAATGTCTTCTTAAGATTCCTTTTTATATTCAAGAATTGTCGGAAAATGAATGAATTTTCTGTTTTGCGATATAGTTTTCAAAGATATCCAGCCTGCGACGAAAAGCAGACACTCTTTGTATCAGATCACATATTAATTTAACATTTCCTCGTAAGTCTGTGTTGAGCGATTTCAAATATTTCAAAACCTTTCGCGGCCCGCCTGTTGCTGACCGTTGGTCTATCCTTCCAACTTATTTAATATTTATTTCTACCGAGGAAGCTACGGTGTTTGTGAAACTCGTCTAGAAATAAAAATGAGAATTGTGTAATTATTATCACGGATAGGATTAGATAATTTAATCATCGAAATTGAAAAGTTGCCAGTATGCTTCTTTCTTCATTCTCACATCGACATCTCTCTGTCAAAATGTTTGTAAAAGACAAAACTACTTAATTTCCAGCATAATTATACAGTCTACCGGTATCGATTCACACCATATCAACTAATGAGGTAGATAACTACTACATCAAATGAAAAATAGTTATTAGCATTTTTTCAAGCAAATCAACTACGATAAAATGTATAATGTGAAGGCTACACCCAATGACGTTTAAGCTAGCACAGTAGGGTACAATTGAGCACAGCAGAATTGCCAGCGTTTGTACAGCTTTTGTCTACTATGGCGGTAACACATATTGCTTTGCTTCTGTATGTCAGTATTTTCATTCTTTATATTTTGTCGATATTGTCTTTAGAGAAATTGTTCAGTCATAGGCCAAAAGTAAAATCAGACACGGTTTTCAAGATGTATGCCGGATTCCAACCTTACTTTTTTACCTTATGGACATTTGTAAGTATAGTAAACATTATTTTAAATAGCTGATAAAGTTATCTCGAATCAATAATAATATCTAATGATATTAACAATAATGGATGTTTCTATTCACCAACTGAAACAAATATAAAAACAATTGGGGTTTGCACAAAAGAATCAAATTTCAAAATAATTTTGAAACATACAGAGTTTTATAAAATCAAACTAATTCACAGTTATGTTTTTGAATGGAATATTAATTCTTACTTACATTGAATTCCAGAGTGAGTTCTAATGATATAAAAAATCACTTGTTGGTCTTTGATTTAGGAAATATTGTAAACTTTTGAAAACATGGAATATAAAGGTATTGTCTATACATGGTTTCTGATGAGAGTTACCCTCAATAAAATTAAAAAACTTTACCAAATTACTCAAATCCCAATGCAAGTGTTGTATTCCGAAATATCGGGTGTCCACCAGTGAGGATGACAAAGTTCCATATAGGTGAAATTTTATCTCTCACACATACTATATTGTGTAGCAATCCTGTGAATGATATCTGACTCAATTCCATAACAAATGTTTGGATCTTTGGAAGATTCACAATTTTTTTTTATCATGAAGGAAAAGTAGAAAGCAAAAACCTTTCTTTCGCAAAAACTAATCTTTCCTAAAAATATCCCCTCTTTCAATTTGAATAAATTTCCCCGTATTGAATCTTTGTATAGAGTTAATTTTTTGAAATTAATTGTTTTCTTCCTTTCTTTGGAAGATTCCCACATTTTTTTGTACATAGATGGAGAAATGGAAAACCAAACATTTCTTCTCCATGTAGCCTGTTTTGAAAATCTGTTTAAAAAATCTGTTTAAAATCTGTTTTTCCGTTAACCAGCTGTCGCACCCCTACGAACGACAACCCTCAGAAGTCGAAACTTGTGCGAGCTAAGGATTAACGAGGTCTTACCTTTTAACGTGTGATTCCTAAAACTCGAAATATATTCAAAATATCTTCTTCTGAATACCCTCAAAACATTACTCACCATGTAAACTAATCGGCTTCGTCAAGAAACTGGGTTTATTTGTTCGAGTTTGAATAGGCGTGAGTCACAATAAACCCTTGCGGGTTTCGGTGGAGGGTTGAATAGACTCGCTCACTTTGGACCTAACGTAACCTAACCTAGCCCTCATAACAGGGAAACAGGACATCAAGAAAAACAGAACATCAAGACAAATAGGACAAGAATTTTCTTTTGGAAGTATTCAAGGTCACAAATGTTTCTGCTGGATTAGATACAGAATTTGGTTCAAAGATAACAGAGACATCTTTTGAAAGATTTCTGAACGGAGGAAATCAATCACTGAATATCATCTTCACGGTCAAGGAAGGTATGCAGTATAGGAAAATCATAGAACATTGTTTTGCCATTTCAATAAATCAAATTAAATTTTCAGAAAATTGCAAAAATTCATTTCAATGGTAGAATCAAACTTTTACTTTTCTTTTTCTATTCAACTATAATATTTTGAACGTAAAAGACACATGACGAATTGAATAACAATACCGTCAATAAGTAGATGTATATCTGATTTTAATCTGAACAGAAGTAATAGCCACATGAATCATAAAAATGCCATTATTCCAAAATAATATGCAGTTTTATTTAATCTACAGTCCACTCAAAATCCAGGCAGCTACGCACGTTACAGGTTATGGATATGGCGCAATATACACAATGGAGATACATTTGATTGTAGTAGGTGGGAAAAATGGTCTCCAATTCTTGGAATTCTGATCTCTACTCCTCCACTGAAGTGTTTATTTAGGACAGTGGTTCTTAACCGGTGGTCCGCGGACCACTGGTGGTCCCTGGAAGTATGGAGATAAAATCAGTGCGTTTATCGCTAAAATCGAGCTATGGATCAACAAGGTCGAAAGTAATAACTTTTTTGTGTTTGATAAGCTTGTTTAAAATATTTATCAGAGTGCTGAAATTAAAGGAGAAATACAAAAGTCTATATTACATTTAAAAAACTTGAAAATTGAATTCATTCGCTATTTTCCCGACCGCGGGGATAAAAGTATTCAAAAATTGATCCGTAATCCATTTATTGTAAACGTTTCTGAGGTGCCTGATGTAGTTCAAGAAGAAGTAATTGATATGCTACACGTCAGCAACTTAAAAGATACATTCGAATCAGTAATTAATCTTGAAAAATTTTGGAGCCAAAAGGCAATTTTTTCACCAAAACTTCGAAACATTGCTATTCGTTATGTAACTTTATTTTCTTCGACATATCTATGTTTTCGGCGCTTCTGATTATTAAAAACAAGCACCGAAATCGGTTGAATGTCATTGCTGATATGCGTTTGAATTTAAGTAACACTGAACCATGGATTCAGAATTTAGTAAAGAGTATATAATCACAAAAATCGCATTGATTTATAATGCAATTTTTGTTACAGTTACATATTTTACCTAATGATTAAAGGACATTAAATAATATGCGTATTTTATTTATAGATGAATTAGAACAACCATTCCTTTTATTTACTGTACTGTACTGTATCTATTTGTAGTTATCGTAAGGTGCTTTATATTAACTACAAACTATTTAACCAACTTGGTGGTCCATGGCCTGGCAGAAATTTTGTCAAATGGTCCCGCATGACCATAATTTGGGAGGACCTGCAAGAAAGAGTTTCAAAAGTAAAAAAGATATATTATATTCAGTTATGTAAGAAATCTCAAAAATACTAAAGCATTCAGCTTCATTTGTTAGTGGAACCTTCACTTCCAAACTCCGAATAATCTGGTGATTTCAATGTGGAAGTGAAAATGAAACCATTTTAGATTTCTAGAGAAATTTTGATTTATTTTGTTTGTTTCAGACGCTTCACATGATCTTCGTTATTTTGGCGATCTTGGATGAAACCTCCAAAATTTTGAAACTTCCCGTAGCCATCCAAAAACGTTTAGGAAAGACGAGGGCTTTCATCTTCAATACCCTTCTGTTTCCCTCTTGTTTACTCGTTTCTACATTTTTCTGGGGAATTTGGCATATAGACAGAGAGCTGATATTTCCCAAGGCTGTGGACGAGTTTTTCCCTTCTTGGTTGAATCATATGTTGCACACGTTCACTTTGATACCGATGGTGATAGAATTGTTGCTGCCAAAGAAGTATAACTTCGTCCAATTTCGACAAGCTGCACCAATTCTCATTATATACAGTCTAGTATATGGTGCCATGTAAGTATACATATACAACATAATAATCCCAACCAGCAAAGTTGTTTTATAATTTCATAGTGCTGCAACAGTTTTATTTTATTGGTATTTTATAATTACTTCCAAAATGCTAATTGATTATATTAGACAACCTGTGAACACAAGACAACAAATGTTTGATATACAAAGTGAGTAGAGAAAAGTATTTTCTATATAATTCAGTGTTCATATAGAAATATTTGTTTCGAAAGAATTTTTTTTTCTTTCGTGTAATTCAATGTTTATATGAAAGTAGCTGTTTCAGGAGGACTTTCTTTCAGTTTGTGTCTGAAAGTTACTTCTTTGCATGATCTACACATCCATGTATAGAGTTACTTATTTTCAAATTGATTACTTCCTTCCTTTCTTTGGAAGATTCTCTCATCCTTTTTTTTTGTATCAGATGGAGTAGTAGAAAGCCAAAAACTTTATTTCCCAACAACAAAAGTGTTTTATAAATTTGTCATAGAAACGTTTATGAAATAAAATTGAAAAACCATTATGAAATAGTCAGGAAATTATCACAGCAACGTTTTTACAACTAACTTATAAAACTTATTTTCTTGTAAAAGTAAATTGTTTTGTAGCAGTTTTATAGCACTTTTCTGTGAGATTTTTATGATAGTTATAAAACTATTTCAAGCTTATTTTATAAATGTTTCCTGTAGCTTTAATGAGATTATTTTATTACAATGCTTTCAAATACCATTTTATTTTCATCACCATATCGTCACTTTAATGATAATTTCCCAACTATTTTATAGTATGGTATATTTACTACAATTACAAAACCCTAATGTAACTGTTATAAAATAAAATTGCTTTCGCGAATATATATTTGCTGTCGCCAAGAATAAAATGCAGTATTTAAGAACAACCAGCTGACATTGACGTTAGATGTCGTGTAATGAAAGTATATTAATTCATCAGTTTTATTTGATTAGCGTGTCAATAACTATCTCTATTAATGATGTCGTGTAATATTGGTCATTGGAAAAAAATTAAGAAAAGTGGTTCGTTTAGACGAAGACTGAAAATATGTTACGAAAATATGTTGTGCAGTGATAGGGTTAATGTTCAAAAAGAATCAAAAAACAATATTGAGTTAAATCCAACGACAACAGATGAAAGTACTTCTACTATGGCAAGAACCAGTTTATTATAATCTGGAAAAGAAACAGAAAAGGACAGATGCTGGATATATGAATAAAAATAAATAATAACTCAATGGCGGCCATTTTGAACATTCATTGGGGGATATAATAGCTTTAGACTCAGTTCGAGATGCGTCAAATAATAGACGAAGAAATGACTGAGTGTTCCATAAAAAAACTTTTTGGAAGCTTTTTGAGTCGTTCTGTATATTGGGAATACTAAAAAAAACACTTTAAAGTATCCCACGCCGTAACCTAGCAGTGCTTCAATTATTTCTTGAGAAAAACAGGAAAAGTTTATTATAATGGTTAAAACCCGTCGATAAACCTTTATAATCTGAAAGAAGCTTTTTAGCCAAAACCTCCCGATAGATAATTTTTATCCAAATTATATGTGACAAATCCTTTATTCATACAAGCACTTTTGTAGAAACCTATAGCTTTAAAAGTAGTCAGACTCTGCCGCAATACCATCAGTCCTAACAGTCCTAACAGTCTTAACAGTTTTATAGGGGTAGCATAGTAGGTAAACAACGTTGTGATGGTTACTACTGATACCAATTTTTTTTATAGAACGACGCCATTTTGAATGATAGCAATCCGGAATGCTGAAATTAGATGAGTTGAAAATATGAAATACCGCACATATAATGATATTTACAGCTGAAAAGTACATAGATATTAAAACATTACATTATTTAGAACAAACTGAGTTAAGTTTGCGACTAGAAAATTAATACGTCGACAGAGTGGATTTTTGTTTAATTAATAATTTTTTGCAAAAACATTAATAAATGTGAAACTTACGATTTTATTTTTTCCTACGCCCATTGAATAAGGCGTTAATTCTATGATGATTTCTTGTTGGGTAATGAACTCTAGTTTCATCTTCCGAGTAGGCCATGATCCGTTACTCAACATCTGCGAACCAATCACAGTTGACCGGATATATTAATCAACCCTCTCGAACCAAACATAGTTGACCAGATACATTACTCAACAACTTTGAGGCCAATCAAAGAAGCGCAAGATTATTACTTTACAGTTGTGTTTCGTGAGCGAGCCTTTATCTGATTCAAAGTTGTTCTGAAATGTCATGCTATTGTGTTAAATGAAAAACAAAATAAAAAAAAATAGACAAGAGAACTTGTCATTCAACTAATTTGTCAAGTTTCCCAACCTGGTGTCAAAGAAGTAGAGTCATAGTCAATGCGAAAAACTATGCGACTGCAAGCGGAAATTTATGCTTTTGAATTGTGTGCGGAGAGATTTGTAGAATCCAACCTGATACACAAGTCAATTAAAATATTATCGGACAGTCAAGCGGCGTTGGAAGCTCTTGGCTCATACCGAGCAATGTCTAAATTGGTGGCAAATTGCCAAAAACGACTCTCCTCAATAGGAAGACTTAACAAATTGTCTCTGGTTTGGGTTTCTGGCCATACTGGCTTAGAAGGCAATGCTGCTGCTGACTCCCTTGCAAAATCTTCCAGCATTGGTTCACCCTTCGGAGCTTAAAACCAAACAGTTCTCTAACTACATTAGCTATGAACTACGATGTCTAACAGGCATTGTCTTCTGAATCATCATATGCAGAGACTCGGACTGTCGGAAGACAGTGTGTGTCGCCTCTGTTTGGAAAATGATGAAGCAATAGAGCACATTCCTTGTGCCTGCCACTCTCTTTTGACATAACCTAACCGAACAAATGCGATAAAACAGTCTTGGTTCAGTTCTTTCCAAGAGACTCCGTGGAACATCCTATACACGTTTTTATGAATAATATGAAGATATACTCATTCTTCAGAAACCACAAAGTTTTTAGGATTTCACATGAATTGGCAATTTAAAATCGATTACGTGAGTAAACTACTCAACAGCAGTTTCTATGCCTTGATGCAACTCAAGAAAATACCGAGCGAAAAACACCTATTAGATGTTAACTATGATCTTGTAAATTTTGTTCTATGCAACAAATAATGATAGGGTTTTTGTTGCTCAGAAACGAATAACTCGTATGTTTCACAATCTACATCAATCTGATTCATGTAGGCCTGTTGTCAAACAAAAGAAGATACTTGCAGTACCTTCTCTCTTTGTGAATAAACTTAATTCAACGACACTTTATTGTGAGATTTTCACTAAACAGTTTTACAAAAGTGCAACACGTGATTCTCCATACACTGGCTTCTTCAGTCATTTGTTACTAGTATTCATAACTAAAAAAATTTGAACTTGAAAATATCGTTCTAAATTTTCATGTTTCAGATTGCGAAGTGAATTAGTAAAAGCATTATAATTTTTCTGATTTCAGATTAATTTCACTGTATTTACGACATGGAGTATGGATTTACCCAGTTTTTAAAATATTTACATGGCCCCAAAGAATATTTTTCTTAGCATTAATTATGGCAGTGCAAGTTCTGTTCCTAAAAATAGGTATTAGCATCCAAAACAGTAAGAGACCGAGTAAGACTGCCAAGATCAAATAATTGATTTTGAAGAACGTAAGTGATATGTTAGGTAGAACCGTTCAAAGATACAGGATTAACACCTGCATACCTGTCCTTTTTTGGGCAGTTTACTTTAGTAAGTTCATATACAGAATATGTACATAAAAACACTATAGTTTTAAGGTAAGACTAAGATTTGTTTTTTTGCTTTCACTTATTGTGGTGTCAGACGTTTTGTAATAGGCCTGTTTTTGTTACAATATATGTTGATTTTTATGTGTTGTCATTATTACCCTTAATGTGTCGTTAGTTGTGGAATTGGCCGCGGTGGTAGTGCGCCCGACTCACGATCGGAAGGCCGTGGATTCGATTCCTGCCTCGACCAGATATTTTTCTCGAGAGAATTTATCTGGTTGAAGCTAGGATGATTCTGCAACCGTGTTAGAAATCACACGTTTAAAGGTAAGACCTCGTTAGTCCTTAGCTCGCAGAAGTTTCTCAACTTCTAAGAGTTGTCGTTTGTATGGGGGCGACAGTTGAATAACAGAAAAACAGATTTTTTTAAACAGATTTTTAAAACCAGTTCCAGTTGCATTCCAATTGAATTTTTGTGTGTGTGATGAATCTTTCAGAATAGCAGTAGGACTTAGGATGGGTTTATCTATTTGTGTGCCTCATACTTGTGTTTGTGGTAGTAGGTATAGTTGATGAGAACGGTACACATGATTCGAGCTGCAGGAGAAGGTGAACTACATATTAAAAAGAACTATGGTTTCAGCGGATGCTCCTGTAATTCTGGAACCCTTAGGTACCAGTCGAGATGATGCTAAACGACCAGATGGTATGTCTCTCATAACATGGAAATACGGTAAGCCTGTGGTATGGGACTTCAATTTCGTTGACACGGTCGCGTCTTCCCATCTAGCCGAAAGTTCGAAGTCTGCTGGAACCGCAGCATTGTCTAGCGAAAAATTGAAAAGAAAAAAATACCCAAATCTTGGAAACAACTATCTGTTTCATCCAAAAGCGGTTGAAACTTTTGGTGTCCGGAGTCTCTGTTATTCGTTCATGAACTCGGAAGGAGAATAGGTCAAGCAACGAAAGATCACTGTTCTACCTCTTTTTTGATAGAAAGAATTAATATTGCTATTCAACGTGGTAATGGTGCTTGGATCCTTGGAACTATTCCTCTTTCACATAATTTTTATGAGATCATGCCCTTATTTCAGTACCAAACTAAAATCTCTTCGAAACAAGCCGAGACATGAGGATATTCATCAGTCTCCTATCGAGGTTAATTCGCAAGTGATATTGATCCACCTTCTTCTTTTTCAGTGTGGTCAATGGACTTAAGTAATTCTTGCCCCCCCCCAAATATGAATTGCAGTCGTCGTGGTTCTGGTTCTCTTTCAGTGTAAGAGCTTCATGATGCAAGTGTTGTTCATGACGAAGAATTTCAAGAAGGATGGTTTTAATGATGAACGAGAATGTTTCCTACTTATTTACCAAACTCAAACACCTGTTTATGCAGCTGCAGTTTCGTAAGAATGTATCATCTTTCCCTCCAACCGATTTCCTGGAGTCTTTGAAGTCCACTAAATACTCGTTAGGACAACAAGAGGATTGTTCCGAATTCTTGGGGTTCTTGTTGAATACTCTTCGTGAACAAAACAATAGCAGGATCAATATTCCCTTCCACTCTGGATTGAATGATTCCGTACAGTCTATCTCGTCTTGTGTTTGTAAATCTTTTGCTGGAAAAATCCGCACTTGTTTACTTTGTAGTAAGTGTTCAAGAGGTACGAAAAACGTATGTGAATTTCTGGAACTTCAACTAGCGTTTCCTAATATGACTAATAACCAGTCCGTGCAAAGCTTATTGTTAAATCATCTGAAAATGGAACTTTTAAGAGGTGATGATCGACTGTATTGCTCAACATGCGCCAAACTAACTGACTGTTATAAAAAAACAAGTATAGGCAAAAATTTCAAATCGATAGCAATAACCTTATCAAGATACATGATTTTGAAACTGGGTGTTTTTTATCGACGTCATGAGATATGTCTGTATAGTGTCTTAAACATGCCCGAACTGTTATAAAGTAAATTATTCAGTGATTGGAGTTTCAATAAAAATGTGTGCTGTTCGGGTGAGTATAATCTTTCAATCAATTTCAATTTCAAGCATTTTTCTTACATTTTGATGGTGCTTGTCATCCGGAATACAATGACTAAATTTCAAATTCATAGCGTCATCAAGATACATGACGATGAAACTGGTTTTTTTTCGAAAACTAGTGTGACGTCACGAGATTTGTGCGATTTTCGTAACAACGTCTGAACTGTGACAAAGCATGTTATTAAATGTTTGAGGTTTCAATGGAAATGTGTTCAGTTCAGGAGAATGTAGTCGTTGAGTCAATTTCAATTTTGTGCATCTTTATACATTTTGATAGTGCTTGTTATCTGGAATACAATAGCAAAATTTCAAATTCATAACAGTTACTGTTACATGATAATAAAACTGTGTTTTTTCGAAAGCTTGTGTGATGTCACGAGATATGTGCGATTGTCTTAACAACGTCTGAACTGTTATAAAGCTGAGTTTTAAATTAAAAAAAAACACTGAATTGTGAGATTTTCACTGAACAGTTTTACAAAAATGGGCTATACTTGTATCTGCCGATTCCATCATAAACTATGAATACCTTGATGATTTTGTTTTGTGAAATGCTGGTCTCTAAGATGTCTCTAAAGATATATCTGCCGAAATGAATTCATTGTATTCAATAATGAAAGGAATAAAGAAAGAAAGATAAATAAATAGTGCAGTAATTAAAAACAATTTATTGAAGTTGATAACAACCTTTTCATAAACTAAAGGAAAACTACAAAAGTAGCAGCTATTTGAGCCTAAGAATCTGACATACAGTTCTTTCAAAAATTTTCTGGCAAGATTTGCATTTTCAAAAAATTTTATATATCGAATAAGGCGTTGAGTTATTAAAAATCCTCAACTCCTTGTTTCTTTACATGCTATTTCCAGTGAAGGATGGTTCATACTGAAATATTAATTCAACATCGAGAAATAACAATTCATTTGAAAATGCATATATGGAATATCGCGCTTTATTGTGCTTCAACCCGGATCCTTTTTTAAAATCTGAAAAATGTCTGCTCACAACTTGAAAATGTTGAAAACACATTAGGGGTTTTAACAAATGCTCCTTCCAACATAATTCCAATATATAGTTTTATATAACTGTGATACGTAAATGCAAGTTCAAAAATCATTTTACCACAGTCTACAGTAATGATTATTTGTCAAAAAACCTTCGACAATGAAATAGCATATAAAATCTCTCTCATAATGTGAGACTGAAGGACCATAATACACTATGGTAACATAAGAAAAACATCTCTTTACAAAAATAGGGCGATAATGGAATGTGAGGGCCTGGAAGACTATTAAGACAAGAAAATCGAGATGACACGTAAAGAAATATACACAAGAATTGAACGCCAACAATACTTATAAGAGGAAGAGCGGGAACAAAGTAGAAAATAGAATATGCCTGATTCAACTTTAGCGTTGAACAGAGGAGCACCCTAACCTCACTATTGTTTGCAGCAGTTCTGGATGAACCACCAGAGGAAGCAGCTGTATTGCAGGCATACCATGATGAGGCTGAGGGTGAGGTAAATTTGAATCTAAATCTACAGCAATTCCTGAAAGGTATAATTTTAGATGAAGATTAGTTCGATGAGTGGAATTTGGTATCTCTGGTGTGAAATGAATCTATTACAACCACTTTTTCCCTACCAAAACAAAATTGTTGTCATCTCCTGATAATGCTAGGTTAGGTTAGGTTAGGTCCAAAGTGAGTGGGTCTATTTGACCCTCCACCGCAACCCGCAAGGGTTTATTGTGATAAATGATATGAATGAAATGATATGATAATGAAAAGATGATAAAATAATGAACAACGAAGAATTATAACATAGCTAATTAGTTACATAATATCTGATGAAAAAATACATAGTAAATGGAATAACAGCTGCAGTGGACAAATACAATAAACATTTTCTAAAGGAAAGACCTAAAGACAAAAGTAATGAACGTTTTTGAGCATTCAGTTACACTACACGGTATTGAGAAACCGACATTTTCAGAAAGATAAAGAAAGATGTTGGCAGAAAACGATATAACGAAGAATTTAGGAATTGAATTGAGCTGGTTTTTAAATGTAAAGAGAAGTGGTCGCGAAGCAACAACAGACAAGAGAATAGTGCCTTCTATAGAAGAGGGTCGACTTAGGTTCAATGAAAGCGAACTTGGAAAATTAACACTATACCAAATTCAACTTCGATACATACCTTACTCTTGTCAGTTGGTATATTCGTAAAGAAATGAAGATGTCACTGACAGTCTTCGGATGTAAAATAACTTACATATCGGAACAATCTTATTAGGAAAAGAGGAAAAGCCTAGAGACATGAAAGTAGTGAACGTTTTGAGCAGATAATTCACAACTGCACGGAGCCAAGAAACGGCAGAACGCACAGAAAAAAATATGTACTGCCTTGTATAGAAGAGGGTTGACTTAGGATGAGAAAAAGCGAATATGAAAAATCAACACTACACCAAATTCACCTTCGACATCTGCTTTTCTCTTGTGAGTTGTAAATAAGTAGAGAAATGAAGATATCATTCTAACAGTATTCGGATATGGAATAACTGGAACTGGAATTGTTTACTTTAGGAGATTTTCATATGAACTTTATTCAGTTCATCTGACATTTATGGAACGCCGTTTTACTTTTTATTGTCACAAATATTCATTCCTCAATTTATTCAACTAACAATTTATTTGTTTGAATTTAATTGACTCATACATTTGTTCGACACATTAAAAACGATTGTTCGCAAAATTTGTTCTATTTTAAATGACACTTGATTTAAAATGTTACATGAATAAAATTGTTATTTGAATAAAAAAGAGTAATGAAATAACTTGAAGCTTTTATTGATTCCGAAGAAATATATTGTTTCAGAGTATTGGAAAATGGAACGCCAATTTATTATATATTATGCTGAAAAATAATCTATATACATATAGTTCAACTCAGCAATAAACCAACATTTTAATTCAACAATCAATGGAATGTATTATTCGAGTAAATTCAATAAACGTTTCAAACGGCGTGACACGCCGTTTTACTTTCTATCGGTATTTTGTAAAAATGAATTGTTTTGATTGTTGCTTTTAGGTGATACATGAATTAAATTGATTGTTGATAATTTTTATTCGGCGCTGCGGTCGGGCGGAATATTGTGTTACTATCACTAAACTATCATGTTGCCAGATTTAAAAATTCAGCTTCTGCAAGAATCCGTTCGGCGCTATTGTCGAATTAAAATTATCAACAATCGTTTTAATTCATGTAACTATAATTATCAACAAACCATTTTATTCATGTTTCACAGAAATTGTAGTAAATTATTCGATTACAAAAAAAGTATATATGACAAACATTTACTTCCAAAAATTTCAAACAATGAATCTATATTATAACTGTTCGCAACTTTTCATCAAACAAATTAATTCATGTAACATTTTGAATCAAGTGTCATTTAAAATAGAACAAATTTTGGGAACAATCGTTTTTAATGTGTCGAACAAATGCATGAATTAATTAAATTCAACCAAATAAATTGTTAGTTGAATAAATTGAGGAATGAATATTTGTGACAATAAAAAGTAAAACGGCGTTCCATAGACATTTTAATAAAAATCAGCGTCTAAATATCCTGCAAAAATCAATATTGCTATAGTATAGGTGACAATTCTTTAGATCATAATAACGATGCAACTAATGAAATGAACTATTTTTTGAATTCAGTTATTGGATAGATTCTTTAGTTTTCGTTCTTGGATCTGCTCCTAGTAGTTCTGGACATGAGATCTTTCCATCCTGAATAGCCTCTATGGTTTTCAACAGATCATAGTTTATTCTCTCAGTAACTTTCGAATCTTTTCTGTAAATTGAAAATGGATTAACAAAAATATTGATTTGCAGTCCGGAAGATATACTCTACCTGTATTCTGGATGTTCTGTGACATACTTCCTGAGCCAGGCAGCTCCTGTCATTAGTTTTCCATTCGCTCTGTCCTCTATAAGCCGAAGGTATTTTTCCAAAGTATACTGGGTGTCAGAGTCAATTTCCTGTGATTTCAGATAACTCCTCATCAAGGGAATAATCCCCGGAAACTCGCCCTTCTGTTCAAATAAATTGTTAATGAGTTCATAATGTATCGGAAAAGTTGTAAACTTTTTCATGACAATTGACATGAGATTGATCGGTTTCAAGGCCTTCCTATTTTATACATCCCATAGCCAAATTTGCACGGAAGAATAAATACAATTTTGAAGTGAAATAAAAGGTCATTGAAATCATTACAGAATTTATTATCTGATGATGTGCTCCTTCAAATCGTTGTACTTGGGAAATATAGAAGCTACTAGTTGATTTTTTTTTAAATCTAATTTATGATATAATTGTGAATTGAAAGAGAATCGATATTAGCTAAAAACATTAGGTTCAGGGTCACCGGGCGTTACTTTGGACATAGCCTAACCTAACCTAACACTACATCAGTAGAGGCCATATAGTAACTTAAATGCGTTCCTCAACCGCAGATATCAACTCAGGATGTAAAAACCTCTGAGGAAACGTCAGGAAAAAAATTCAAAAATTCACGGCCTTCAAACCCGTAAAATAGTGACACTCGATACCAAAATTTTATGATTTCCGAAAACATCATCACCAGATACTTTTGATGCACTGTTTGGAGTTTTTTTTCCAACACCAAATCGTTATTTTTAACACCTCGACACGTGGAAGATTAACACTGAGTTTTAATCTTCGTCTTTGAAGATGATCACTTGGTGATCAAAACACGTGTCGAGGTGTTAAAAATAACGATTTGGTATTGGGAAAAAAAACTACAGTAATATTCATCATCACCAGAGATTAGATAAAAATTGAAATTTTGGATTTTGTCATGTCAAAAAAGTACCAGGAATTGGTCATTAAAAATAAAAATATGTATTATTCATGCAAATTCATTGTGTCGCCTTCAAAATAGGCCCCTTCCGAAATAATAAACTTACGCCAGCGAACAACCTAATCATGGAAACATATTTCAAACGTATTTTTTGGAATCGATTCCAGTACTCATTGCAAATTTCCTTTCATGTCATCTATCGATTGAAAACGGGTGCCTCGGAGAGATAATTTGAGTTTTGGAAAAAAATCGACCAGAGCCATATCAGGTGAATACGATGGCTGTTCACAAAGATAGCCATGTGAGATGATATTCTCACATATCGGGTTTTTTCCGAAGAATCTGCTTTCTCATACGCCGCATAACGCACCTTCTGACAAGAGTTCCGGGTACACAACACCGCGATAATCTAAAAAAAATCATTTTAATCAACTTGAACAGGATTTTTTCGTTTTCAGCTCAAATTTCCTTTCATGTCATCTATCGATTGAAAACGGGTGCCTCGGAGTGATAATTTGAGTTTTGGAAAAAAATCGACCAGAGCCATATCAGGTGAATACGATGGCTGTTCACAAAGATAGCCATGTGAGATGATATTCTCACATATCGGGTATTTTCCGAAGAATCTGCTTTCTCATACGCCGCATAACGCACCTTTTGACAATATTTCCGGGTGCACAACACCGCGATAATCTAAAAAAAATCATTTTAATCGACTTGAAAAGGATTTTTTCGTTTTCAGCTCAGTTCGAAAGCACCATTCCGAAGCTAGTTGACTGTTTTGCATATCCAATTCTTAAACCCATGTCTCGTCACCAGTTATAATGCGTTTTATGAATGTGGGGACGGAATTCACTAACATGTCTTCAGCGGCCTATACACGATTGAGGTTTCGCAAAAAATTAAGGTCTTTTGCCACTAGTCGAGCGTCAACGCCTTTCATGCCTAAAAAAATCGTTTGAAATTGTACGAACTGATTCGTGAGACGTAATAATTTCAGCGGCTATATCTCTCAGACTTAAACGACGATTTTCAGTCACCACTTACTTCACTTTAGCGTTGTTAAGTTCAGTTGCACGTGTTTTTGAATAATTAGAAATTTCATTTGCAATGCAAAATTTTAAACGAGTTATATGTTCATTATTCATTGTAACAATCACGGAACATGTTGGAGGTTAATTAACAAATTAAGTATTGTAAACAAACTAAATGACGGATGTCGTTCGAATTCCGCGTGAGTAGCAGAGATCAGTTTTGCCAACCTAGCTACAGAAATAATTTCGCGCGGGCTTTTTAAATTATCGATTCCCGGTACTTTCCTGACAGAATGTATTTTGTTCGAATATATCTATAGGAAAAGTAATCATCTTGAAAACATCCTTTATATATTTTTTGAATATTGAAAATCAAAATTTGAAAATTATTTTCACATGAAGGACAATGAGAACATACGAATTGAATTTCGAGGATATTTCTTTGTTTCTATATGAAATATCGATATTTGAGATATTTGAATCTTTATTTTGGTTTGATATTCAACTTATTACACATGACAATTTGAATAGTTTCATATACGAAATGTGAAATTGAAGATACAAGAATGTTGAAAAATTTTTTACCTTTCCATTCATAATTTCGTTAGTACTCATTAAGGCAAATACATCTGTTCCTTTGACAGTTGATTTGTCACTTCCCAGGACTCCGTTAAGTTCACCAATGTCTTGTCTGAACCAGAACTTTGCTTTGTTAACCGCATCTCTTTTTTGGGATACAGCAATGTTTTCGTCCACCTAAAAATTACCAATATGCATAGAGAAGACGTAATTGAAACTTTCTTGAAGTGAATAGGCATGTCTACAGCAGATATGTGTGCGCGTGTGCTTGTGCGCACGTGTGTGTGCGCGTGTATGTGCGAGAGTGTGTGTGTTTTCAGAAAAGTTTCCGCGGTCAGCGCAAAAAAGTCTCGCTGAGGAGCTTTTTATAAGTATGAATGCATTTTTACATACCTTACTCATTGGCATCAAAAAGTTGAGGTTATAATGTAGGACGATCCTGGTTAGAAGGGCTATGAAGCAGACGTAGGCGGCATTCTCGAAATATGTAATTTGAACATCGCATGGTCTGAACTCTACTCTCCAACCTATATCGGTGTTTGGTGGTGGGAGTTTAAACCTCATCGATTGCCAGTTTGTTGACTGGATATTCTGCAATGACAAATTGAAGCAATACATTAATATAATGGGGTTTGAAGCACTAAGTAGGTAGGTTGGTAAATTCAAAGGAGACGTTCTCCTGATTCTTCAGCTCCTGATCCTATTTCTGAGAGGATCAGGGACTAAGGATCTTCGTGTCATACCCAAGGTCATATGTAGGGAGGGTTATGACGGCACGTGAGGTGAGGGAAAAAATGGCGCCACGAATTATTTCTAATTTCTTTACTTTTAACTTCGAAAGTAAGGAAGTTTGTAAATTGATTTCATTAATATCAACCTTACCTCGAAATGATCAGTCTCTTCTTCATCATTCTGGTGTATCTTCTCCGAAAACAACGAAATCGTGTCTCTGACAAACAAATGCGCAATGTGTCCTGCTAGCAAGTGATCGATGCCATTGTCCACCAATTTCTTGAAGTCTTCTTCGTAATATGTTAGTGGAATGTCGTTATATTTTTCACCTGGAGGGGACAAGTAGGAGTCTATAGAGCCGTATCGGCTTTTCTTCAAAACGAATTTGTTTTTCTTCAGGGGAACGAGCCCTCTTTCTTCGGCTGTACGACAATCCGAAGTGTGGCAAATAACGTCCCACCGAGCGTCAACATCTGTCAAGAAACCTCTATGGATTGGAGCAGAAGCAGCCAAAGCTATCTGAAACGAAATAATAATGATTCGAATGATTTTTATAGAGGCTGAAAATAACGTTCTGGAAGATAGAACTAAAATTTCTTTCGTAGAATATCAGAAGATGAACTCTTAAGCGTTTTTCGACTCCTAATGACACCAACTTGGTTGATCGACTATGACAGCTTCAACGTAGCGAACCGAAAAGCATCGAAACCTGCTTCGTTAATGATTGATGCTAACTTGTTGAGGTATGAATACTACCGATGAGTACAAGACTCATTCAATTCCGACTTCTCTTGACTTTCTCATCTTGTACAGCCCTATTTTATTCAGGTGTCCTCTAAGCGGAAAATGATCAGTTAGTAACCCTGTAATTACTCTGAGCCGATGCCTACTGTATTGAAGTATTTCTTCGGTTCTTTTCTCGGACGATTCCCTAAGGAAGGTTCTACTGTGTTTATTGCCAGGTACTTTTGTCCAGTACTCTGTGTGCTTCTTATTGGTCCATGTCCTAATCTGGTTTCGTACCAATGATTTTGGTACCCCCAGAGCTGGTTCAGGACCTATATATAAAGTTGATGAACCGTGTCTCGCGCATTCATCAGCTTCATCATTACCTGTGATTACTGATGAATGCCCTGGCACCCAGTAGAGAATTAATTTGTTCCTGTTTGCAAGATCATTCAGTTCTTCATGGCATTCCCAGACCAGTTTTGATGTCACCTTCGGGTTTGTGCGCTCTTGCTGTCTGTTAAAATCTTGATCCGCTCATTTCTTTGAGGTCCCAATTTAATAAGCCTTGCACACTGCAAGATAGCATACACTTCCGCCTGAAAGACGGATGTGTATAGTCCTGGCGGATAACTGTAGTTTGAATTTCTGTCCGCTCGGTATATACCAGCTACCGTTCCATGTTTGGTCTTCTATCCATCTGTATACCAGGTGTTTTTTCCAAACATGTTTTCGGGATGACTAATGGTCGTCCACTCTTCACGGTTATGATTTTGGCCGTGAAGTTTGCGTTGAAGGTGTACTTCGGTGTCATGTGGTCCGTGAACATATTCAATATGTGCTCCTCCACATGTTCCGAAATTTCTGTTCGGTCCGATCTTTTGTAGTTCGGTGAGTTTTCCACTCTGGCCTCCTCCATTATCACAAAGTGTAAAGGAGGTAGATTCAGGAGTGTCTCCAATGCAGCTGTTGGGGTAGTTCTCATTGCTCCTGTCATTCCCAAACATGCAAGTCTTTGCACCTTGCCTAGTTTGTTGATAGCGGTCGCCTGCTTCATCTTTGGCCACCAGACCAGAGATGCGTATGTTATCATGGGTTTAACCACCATCATGTATAGCCAATATATCATGTCTGGTTGTAGCCCCCATGTTTTTCCATAGGTGCTGCGCCTGGCAAGCATCAGTGCTACCTCCGCTTTCCTTTTTATTCTGTCCAAGTGTTGGTTCCAGGTCAGTTTGGAATCTAGAATTACTCCCAGATATTTAACCTTCCTCGACACTTGTATTTCTTCACCTCGAAGTTTTAGAGGTCCGAGACCCCGAGAATATTTTATTTTAATCTTTAATACAGCTTTACTTACGAATATATTTCCCAACAAGCAACAAGAAAACAAGCAGCACCCCCTAAGTGTAATTCTCCCAAAGATTTAGGCGACTTAAGACCGATGAGCTTGTTGCCGAGCACAAATTTGTATCCTTTGGTTGAATTTGAACGCTACTGAACAAAGAATCACCGAATCAAAAGAAACTACAGGAAAAAATATGTGAAAGATGGCTGGAGAGAAAAAATCAGAAGGTAGATTGTAATCTTTTATTGTATTCATTCAAACATGAAATGACTGAGGCAGATGGCCTTTTGAATAAAATTATAAAAAATTAATTGTTCCTTCGAAAATCTGCAAAAAAATGCTATCTAGACTCCATTATGAGCACATTAGTATAAATAAAACTGAAAACGAAGCGAGACGAACGTGTTATTGATCACACGTTGAAAGGTAAGACCTCTTTAATCCTTAGCTCGCACAAGTTTCGGCTTCTGAGGGTTGTCGTTCGTAGGGGTGGGACAGCTGGTTAACAGAAAACAGATTTTAAACAGTTTTTTCAAACAGGTACATTTTTCTGAAAGAAATTGAAGCTTATATTCAGAACTGTCAAACCTGTGCAAAACTCATGTCAAATAATTCGAAAAACACTATGCTCTTTAATGAAATACCGAATTTACAATGGGAAAAAGTGGATTGTGATTTTTTTTTTAAACAATGGAATATATTTGGGAAAGAAAGTTTTTGGCTTTCTACTACTCCATCTTGATACAAAAAAAAAGAAGGATGAGGGAATCTTCCAAAGAAAGGAAAGAAGTAACTCTATACATGGATGTGTAGATCATGCAAAGAAGTAACTTTCAGACACAAACTGAAAGAAAGTTCTCCTGAAACAGCTACTTTCATATAAACATTGAATTATACGAAAGAAAAAAATTCTTTCGAAACAAATACTTATATATGAACACTGAGTTATACAGTGTCTTAAGGCGAAACATCGGTGTATACCAGTGAGGATGACAGTGTTCTATGTAAGTGCAACTCCTAAAAAATATAACCCCTTCAATTGGAATATATTTGTTAGAGGTCCATTATTTTTGTCATTTCCTCTGTCAGCAAAAAATACCAAGATATTTTTATTTGTATTGAGATTTTTCAGCGCCCCTCGTTTCCGTCCTGTTATGTTGGCCTTGGGTAGTTTTGGGCGCATTAGAATCCTCGACGTTTCTATGCCGATTTCAAAAAAGCTGAATGAGCTGAAATGAGTAACTATTTGGAAATATTTGAAGGAATTGAATTTTCGCCAATGAAATAATCACATATCACAAACAAGTTTTGATACTTTTTTTGATATCTCAACTTTTTGTGGATAAATATGAATGCAAATGCCTCTTTTTTAATGGCCTCTCAGATCTCCAAACCTTATCTCTCTTGAGTATTTCAAAGGCTATTCGAAGAATGATATTTATGAACTAAGTAATGTTGGTGAGACCATCTTGCCAACATATATTAACGCAAAAGTTATTGACAGTAGAACCGAGAGCGAAGTATTCAAAAAGGTACCCTATGATGTATTCAAGGGAAAGAAGTTTATTTATTTATTCGAATGGCACGTTCTACTGGAAACATAGTTTGCTTTCCGTTAAAAAAAAATAGGTTTATATGAATTGAATTCCCTTAACGAGAGACTCACCATGATTGGACAAAACGGAGTCAGCTGATCATAAAGATGCTTAGCCTGATTGATGTCACTTCCTTGAACAGTGGCTTGCAAACAACAATAACCTCCTCCAAAACCCATACAGTCGAGGTACACACAATCAGGAACGGCATTTTTATCGGTTTTGAAAGAATCGTCCACTGGTATCTTGGTATTTTCATCTCTGAATACTGAAAATAATATGTGTTTTATTTCAAATAGAAACACTTTTGCCTCTTTATCTAACCTAACCTCAATGAATAACTCGTTCCGCGGCAAGTATCAGCAGAAACTGCGATAGATCTAGTTATAAAATCTGTCGGTCAAGAACAAAGTTGATGCTATTTATATGTTAGCCGTTTCGATTTTACACCTTCGGTGTAGTGAAGTGGTCTCTGGAGAAACTAGAACTCTACCAACTGGACGTGAAGCTCAGAAAATGCATAAAAATGTGAGTACCCTTCTCTACATCAGAGACTAAGAACCAAGAGAGCGTGGAACTTTTGTGATGAATTTGGTTTAGTTTTCTACACTGAGGCAACCACAACTATGTCACCGAGTTGAAACTCTTTCATCAGATGTTTGTGATGAAAGCCGCAGATACCACTTTTCTTCTGTGGCTTCAAAAGGAAAAACTGATGCATGGTGTCTTCTTCAACATTATTGAAGACGTAGACTTATCAATGAACCTGACATCTGCTTGATTGAGTCCAACATGGCTTTCTAGATTGGTGTGTTCAACACTTAAGTCTAGCATAGTCACGAGGTGGGCATAGAGGTTCCTGACACCAGGCATAAGACTTGCCGTTAGGCACCAGAGATCTTCATACATCTGCTGTCAGTATGTCTAGCATATGGGGTCTTGGAGTAGAGTCATCAACATAACGTGGCCCTACAAGTGCCTTATTATCACTTTTGGCACTCAAATTGTTTTAGTTAAGTAACTACTTCAGTATACTTAAATTGTGATATAGCTGAGAATTTCAAGAGTTTCTTCACTTTGTATAATAAAGAAGCATCGAAGAAAACTGGGGAATCATGGAGCCTCATGTTGTTTAACAAGAGCTAATAATGTTTGATGTATATGGATATTATTGCGAATGGTACTTCTGTACCATTGGCTCAACAAATTGATTGTTTGCAAAAAACATAAGGAACTGAAGGATAAACATAGAATCACATAATTTAAAGAACATGAGCTAAGAGAAACAATAAAAAAGGTCAAGGATCGAGAAGATTAAGTAGATCAGTGGATGGCTGAAGGTCTCCAGAAAAATAAACCTATCATGAATATTTACTTACTGGGTAAATTGATAGCAACTTTTTCTCCTCTTCGCTCTCTGATATTGTTGGTAGCATTTTTCCACCTCGGATGTACTTGGTTGATCGCTTCGTCCGGATAAAATAGGGATCTTGTAATTCCCCTGTCTGTAGTTACTTTTGTTGGCGGGTAGGTGAAATCTTCACAACCTAACCTGAAAAAAAAAATGGAAACGTAAATGGGAGTTTTTAGACGAACCCAACATTTATTATCAGCTTTCCTGCATATAAGCAGGAAGTTATTTTAATTAATCTCGTGGATGAGACGGTAGCCGGTTGGGTTGACGTGGGTGGTTTGCTCCACTCACCCAATCGACCGCTGAGTGAACCGGTGGTACGAACCGCAAGGCCGGACGATCGATTTCCACTTCCTGTCGTTCAACCCGTGCTAAGAATCACACGTCAAAAAGTAAGACCTCGTTAGACCCGTGTTAGAAAGCATACGTTAAAAAGTAAGATTTCTTTATTCCTTAGCTCGCACAACATATTATAACAGCCCTCAACGACTTTTGAGAGTTGTCGACAGCTGGTTGACGGAAAACAGATTTTAACAGATAACAGATTTTACCAGATAACAGATTTAACAGAATCAGTAAAAGTTGAAGAATATTGACTTGACATTTTTCAGGGATGGCGATAACCACTGATGAAAATATATGACTCCTTTGAAAGGGGCCATTCTGTTATATTTTTTGAACCAAATGCAAAATTTTCATAATTTTGATGAACTTGTAATATTCAAAGATCGTAAATTCAGTTCAAGTGAAACTAGTAATAGTTTTTTATGTTGGTAGTGGAAAATGGAACGGAGATTTTTCATTCGATTGCATCAATTTTTGATTACGGACCCGTTACTCCATTGATATAATAATAGCTTGAACTAGCATTTTTTAAACAGTGGTGAAGGTTAATTAGTTTTGGAGCCAGTTATTTTTGTCGCCATGGAAATCAGCAAGTTGATATACTCGGCACAATATTTGAAACTTGGCAATGAATATTTTCTTTCATTATTCCTAACATTTTTGTTCATTAGACAATTTATTCAATCATATTCTTACGATCAGCATATGCTAATCCGGTATGAATCGAATGGATGGTTCGTTGAATATTCCTTGAATTTTAGTTTACAAAAAATCCAAATAGGAATCAATTGAATCAGATGCATTTGGTACGACGGATAATTCTACATACATTATTGATAAAATACGATGAAATACTTATAGCCCAGTCATTGTGGGTTTCATTTGCGGAAAAATCCTAGGATGCTGAATTTTGGTATACACCTTCATTACTGTGTGCTGAATTTTGGTATACACCTTTATTACTGTGTTTCGGTGATAATTCGAAAAATAGACATTAAAATTCTACTAAAAATGTTATTTGAGGTCAAAGGTCACGAAACTCAGTGAATATCTCGCGTCCTGTTTCTCAGAAGTCAATATAAGTTTGTGAAATTATTTGTTGCCCAATTGTCAATGTAACAATTTTCTATTCGAACAACCGTTTTTGGAGTAAACCGTTGAGAAAGCCGACTTTATTATGATTATGCACCCGTTTCCCCACCATCTCCGAGGTAATTTATGATATGTAACGAAACGTTTTTTCACTCTCAAGTGATGATGTTTTCATTTGAATAATGATCAATGAGTCCCCAGTTACAGGAAATGCTATCATTACAGAGTATATATATCAATTTCTATATAGGCAAAATTTATGAATACGACAAGTTACTGACTAATTAGACTTTCTAGTGGTTTATATTACGCAGTAACTATTCGGGGTGAACTATCCCCTTTACCACACTTCAATGGATTCTCTATTGATTTTCAGATTGTGGAAAGTAATAAACCCAAAAAAACAGTATAGAATATTGAGTCCTCCACAAAAAAATGTCATTTGAAGAGTGTTAAAAAAAGCGATTTATTTCCAACAGGAGTATCTAGTTACAGGAAATGCTATTATTACAGAGTGTATATTATATAAATAAATATTAAAAATAATGGAATATAGAAATGTATAAAAGTAAATGCTAAAACAAAATATATATAAAATATTCGTATACGTAGAATTTCAAAAGAGGAATGAAAAATTGAGTATATAACACAAAAAGTTAAAAATCATGCAATGAAGCAGTACTAACACAAATTTTATTTATAGTATTATTGAAAGTGATTGTGGATACATGGTACCAAGGCGTTTAGAGAGTCTAAATGAATATCGCAATGTTCACAGTTTTTATTGAAGCTACTGCACATAAAATTCAATGGTGATCGTAGCATTACATTTGTGCGTGATGCTTCGCAATAGAATTTCAGATTGTGTCGACCTTCACTTCTTGGTACTAAGATATTGATATCGGGTAAAAGAACCGTACTGCCAATATTGTTGTTTAGTAATTTATGCAGGAATATTATACCAAGGATAACTCTTCTATTTTCCAAAGATGTCATCAGATCGTGTCATCGTGAGGTATTGATCATTCATCAACTATTAGACATAAGTATTTCAGGAACTTCCTTTGCACGCTCTCAATTGATGTTTTTTGGTAGTCGTAAACTGAATTCCATAACACAGAGCCATACTCTAACTTATATCTGGCATACTCAAAATATAGCAATTTTGAGGTGGCAATACTTTTGAAGTTTTTGCCATTTATGTTAATGAATACAAGCATCCTATTTGCATCAGCAGTCATATTCCTTATATGTGTTGTAAATGTTAATTTACTATCGTATGTTATACCAAGATCTTTTATTTGTTGATTTTTGTTGATTGAAGAATCGTACATTAAAGTTCGCTTTTTTGTTGTAAATTATATTATTACATTTGGATACATCCAATTGTAGAATATTATTATTACACCTGACTTTTATCACATCTTATTCATGTTGTACACGTTGGCAGTCAGTAATGTCGATGATTTTATAATATAGTTTCAGGTCGTCTGCAAATAGTAGGCTAAGAATATTCAAAGAGGTTGCCAAGTCATTGATAAAAATAAAAAATAAAAGAGGTCCCAGATTAGAACCTTGTGGTACCCTAGATGTAACCCTGCCCTGTAGTTTGTGATATCGCTAGAGTCGCCTTTTTTAATATCGGACGAAGTGTTGTATACAATTTTTTCGTTGATAATTTTCAAAAAATCATTCACCGTCGGTATGATCACTGGACTCATTCTCATATTGAAATCTCCATCCATATCATTTTCATCATTATTTGAATCCACATTAAAATATGACTGGCGATGGCAATGCCCACAAGTTTAAGAGCATCTTAATTCAATTTGCCACCAAAACCTTTCGTACAATGGGAATGATGACAGATTTTGAAATACTGTTCTATAACGAATTCATCTCATTTTATAAGTTTAAAATTCGCAGTAAACCACTTCAAAGTGACATGGTGTCACTTGTGACGTCACGTTCGAGTAGACTTCATGTAAACACTGGAAGCCCTTTCATAAATTTGGTGATGACTATCATCAAATTATTTGTGTTTGTCTCATACAAAAAAAAAACACGAAATAAGTGGATTGAACTTGCAAGACGACATTCAACGGGAATCCCAGTACTCAGTTTTATTTTTGTTTTATTTTTGTGATGATCACTTTGACGTAAGTCTTTACTTAAATTCGTAGATAATAAACCAGTATCATCTTGGTCGAGAATCATATCAATAATAGACACCATTTTTTGAGTTTAGGTTTCATATCTCGTATCTTTCACCCTTGCTATGGAACCTTTCGGCACTTACTTTCATTTGAACATTCGTTATGGAACCGCATCAAATACCATTGTACGAAAGAGTTACCATCTGAAATTTCACTTACATGGAATACTATCATCCTCAATAGTTGACTTCGAAGTTTCGGAGTAGTACATTTGTTTTATTGCCTCATCAGCATCCATCTAAATAACATTACAAAATTGACCATTCAATGTATTCATGTCATTGAGACTTCAAGCTTCGGATGAGTTTAATCTACTCATGCCCCGACGAAAGTTCGTAATGCCATTCATACGCTTATTTACAGTAATCTTTTTTGAATTGAATAGAGGTTTATTTTTAGAAGAGATTGGTTTGCGGGAAAAAAAGGTTTGCCAATCAACTCCTCAGCGCAGTTTCGACCCACCAAGGTATCATCAGTGGTGTTTAATCACACAAGTACCTACTTAGTTGCCTCACGTGTTCGTAATAACAAATTCTTTGATTCTACATATTTATTTCCAACAGTGAAAAACAGAAAGGAAAGTTATCTATCATTGATTTCAACACAAACATTATTTCGTCATAATTTATTATGATTTGAAGGATATGGTTGACATGTTATCGCATGGTATACTATTTCCCGTGAGTTGTAATTTGAACTGCTGTGACTAAGATAACACAATAATTATCGATCACTTCGTAATCTATTTTATGAATATTCATGAGGTTATATTGTTAAATTTATTTTGTTCAATATGAATATTTACGGTTGTTACTTTTCTGAATAATTTTAATGGTAAAGTAGGGCATAAACAAAAAATGAATAATTTGTTGATGTTATATATCAGAATAAATAAAAATCAACATAGTGAATTCCATTGAACACTGTTTTCATTATTATGATAACTATATGCATTAGTGAAAGTTTTTCAGGTCTTACATTCAACTCAAATTAACAAATTCCAGCGACATGATTGTGCCAAGACATATTGGTGTCCATTTTAATGCATGCCTGAATGCATTTATACGTTTATGCTTTTCAAATGGAATATAAAGATTTATTATTATCGAAGCGAACTATTGACTAGTTGAAACTGTGCATTGTCTATTATTTAAGATTCGAGTATTGAAAGTCCATTCCATTTTTGATGAAGTTACTTACTGAAGTCAATGGTAGGTCATGAATTCATGTTATTATTGAAAGTACATTTTTGAAAAATGTAATTTATATTTTAACCGAAACCTTAGAATATTTTAGTAGAGATGGATTATCTAGTTCATTTATTTCAAATGAACAATAACAACTTAGGTCAACGATCTCTATCAAGAATGATAGAGTTCAGATAGAGATCAGTTTTACCTAGACAAAGTACCGGAACACAAATAGAAACTATTTTTGATAATAATATCAGAACAAATATTGAAGTATCGATTGTAAATTTTATTA